CGGAGCAAACGGAACAGTCAATGTGGCACATGTCAACTATTCAAATATGCTAAATATCAGCAGTCTTTCTCCAGAATCACAAACTGCGCCTTACAATTTTTCAGAGTGAATCTAACAGTATCTGTAGAACGACAAAAGTGCCTCCATGATGTTTTTTTGGTTCTTTATTTATATAAATGTATAAGAGGAGAGGAGAAATTTCTGGGAAATTTAACATTAGTGCGATCCACAGCAGTGAGTCTGGTATATACAAATAAACATACAACACCAATGTTAAAAGATTAAATAAAACACTAAGTGAACACTGATTTTTAAAGTAAAGATTTGTAAAGATTTTTGTGATATAAGTTATCAGGAGTCACAGTCACAAGTTTTACATAACAAATGGTCCTACAACTTAGTGACTTGTAATTGTGATCCACGCCAGTAATGTACTTACCACTGATGTTCTCTCCGGTGCTACCAGCTTGTTTGAGGAGAGCGTGAGCGAAGGCTTGGCATGCTGTGGTCTTTCCCGTTCCGCTGCGTCCCACCGCACACACACTGTGGTCTCTCCTGCTGCCCACCATAGACACATACACCCGTTTGACCAGAGCAGCCAGGGCAGGAGGGGCGTCCCACACCGACTCTCCTCGCCGCGACTTTGGGGTCTAAAGAAGAAGACAAACAAATGAGTGAAAGCAGTGGTTAAGCACTGTGATTGATGCAAGCAGCTGAAATGTTATGTTGGGACTGCGAGCAGCTAAATATAAATATACATTAACTGGACACCTAACGAACTATCATTGCAGAAAGTGCATCTTTCACTGTGTCTCTGGGTTCACCTTGCTGTGGGCCTGTAACGGGGGCCAGAAGTTGAGCAGGTTGGGTCCGGCCTGTGTCAGTGGCTTGTTGTTTTTAGCTCGACTGATGAGCGTGTGCAGAACTCCACATTCATTCACACTCTGGAGGTCGCTGAGATCCTCGCACAGGTCCAGCTCTGACGGGTTACACTGAGGAGAGACCGGGGTTCTGTGACTGTTCAGGAGTTTCAGGGATAATCCATGCTTTTTACACAAAGGGACACTTGACTTTTTATTGGAAATCCTGTTAGCTCAGCCTGTGAAAAGAGCTGAAGTCCGATAATGTCTTCTGTGGTTCTCAGGAAGCTTTACAAAGTTATCAAAAAGCTTTCTTTTTTGAAACAGTTTTTAACTCTAATTTGGTTCAATTTAGTTTATTTTTTTCCCCAGATTTTACTTGTCATGGCAGATTACAAATAATAACCATTAAAAAAAAAAAGAGAGTATTATTTTACATGTTAACTGTGGTAAAAAAAAAAAAAAAAAAACAGGCAAAAACTGTACATAATGTCCATATCAAAAGACTGTATTTTTATAATTATAGCAATTATGGGCATAAAGTTAAACTTATTTAGTGTATTTAACTGTAACACTATACAGATAATTGCTGTCATTTCTACAGGTTTTTAGCATGTTGGAATGTTATAGTGATCCATCTTGTTTTATTGAATTTGCTTTGCCTCGTTGCCAGAGTTTCACTGTTTATCTTACAGGATTGTTTTTTACAGCGTGCTATTGTGACAGAAGAGATATCTGCACACATTTTAATTCTGTTAGAATTCCCTTCTACAGCTTTGCTATTTGTTTACCTGTGAAATAAGCTTCTGATAAGTCAAAACTAAAGCCAGACAAATATGAATCTCACCTTATAAACTACAAACGTGTGACAAAATGATTTAGTTGTATAATAACAGAAGGATGGCAGACTTTGGCATGCTGCTAGGATTAATTCAAAATTCACTGGTCATCATTATTATTATTGATGTTCTCACATGTTGGAATGTTTGCCGTGTAGCAATATGCAGAATAGCATATCATTTCTAAGCAGACATTTGACCTCTATTCAGGACTTTCATGTTGCCATACGTAGAGGGTCTTTCAGGGTCCACTGGATCTCAAGAAAGAATATGTGCAAAATATTTTTTGGTATTTATTGTAGACTTTTATACTATGTTAAATAAATGTTCTGATAAGTTGATGTATTTTTGTTTCCAAATGCATGACAAATGTCCCTTTTTTATATTTAAAAAAATAAATCTTCAAAAATTAAACAAAAACAAAAACAATACCTGTCACCTAAACCAAATGGCCTGTGGTCTAAAAGACCCCAAAAGTCCTGAATAGGGTTGAATTGCTGTAACAGGTGAAGCACAGCTGAATTTTTTTGGGACGTATTTATGGGAGCAGGATTTGACACATATTAAAACAGAACATTAGGAAATACAACTGAAACCAGAAATTTACTCAAAGAATTTTCGAGACAATAAAGGTATCTGCCAACCCTCTTTCTATTGTTTACCCTGCAAAACCCTGGTACTTTATTTACATATTAGCCTCAAATTTGATTTACTTGTGGACAAGAAATGTGGGAACCAGGAAATGTAAAATGTGTAAATGTGGAGTGGTATATGTGATTTTAATTCAATACAGTTTCAGTCAACTTCAGGAAATATCCTACACTGTCCAACAGCTATAAATGCTGAAAGAAATCTGGTGTTGGTGCACAGTCCTGCTTTTAAACTGGACTGTGAGTGTTAAAATAAGCCTGTATCAGAAAATAGATTTGACAGAGACAGAATCGTAGCTAGAAGATGAGCCTGGTCTCAAATTGTTCTGACCAACCACCAATCCAACATGGTAATATGACCCTTGAAAATTTAGCCAAAACTGAGTTTTTTAAAGCTTCCTCTGGTAAATTATCAGAAAATGGTTAACATATCCAGGGTACCAAAGCTTCTTTTCTCGGACTCAGTGTCATAGATAATAATCTTGTGCAGTTTTACCACTGAATATCTGATATATTCCATTGCACTGATGCTCAGAGTTGGTCATAGAAGAAATACTGCTGAACAAAAACAGGATTCTGGCTTTAGATTATGACACCTGGAGAGGATGTAAAATAGATTCAGTTACAGATTTATTATTATTATTATTATTATTATTATTATTATTATTATTATTATTATTTATAAATTATTTAATTATTTACTCAAAGACACTTTTTTAACAGAAATCAAATAAAAATTCAGCTGATTCTGAGTGTGTCAGGTGAGACTTTTTCAGATTCAGTTGATTTTATCCAGAACAATCCTCAGTGGGTTACTACAATCACTTGTGATGGATAATTTACTTTTAGAGTACTATAGAGGAAGCCAAACGTCTGTACTCATATCTGACAGTTTAAAGCAAATAGAAGAAAATATCTAATTGGTTTGGGTGCTTGATCCCTTTTAGTATCTGATAGAACAACTACCTTCTCAACTTCAAACTCCGTGACGTCATGCAGCGACCCGTCCGTCTGCAGGCGGACCCTCACTCGGCCCTCTGGCAGTTCAGGTGTTCCTTCATCCGGCTTCAGCTGAGTGGCTGCAAACAACAGCAAACACATATCAGGAGCTGAGTCACCCAGAACAAGCTGAGATCCTCGGCTGCTTGTTTCTCTAAGCAAGCTTTATTTCATAATTCTCTGATCCCTGCATATTAAAGAGCGGGGTCAGGGGTCACAGCGTGTCTGGGGCTGTGAGGGTCTGATGGGATTAGTGCAGCGCAGTAAGTGGGCGGATGGATGGATGCGAGGATGCTGGCTGGATAAAATGAGCAGCTGTAAGTAATTTGTAACATGATCTGTAGGTAACAGGCTGAAAGATTACTGGATATCTGGCGTGGATTAATAGAGGACTCTACTAATCCAGACACACATCATGGGTCCAACGAGAGAGACTGTTTCCACGTTCACAGGGTGGATGGTGGAGCTGCAACAGTTGACTGGCTGAACATAAATCAGCAACTTGTAATTGTTCCAGGTAATGTTTAAGTTAAAAAATAAAATAAAATAAATAAGAATAAAAAAAGAAAAGCTAAAGGCTTCTTAAATGTGAAAATGTAGAGATTTTCCTTTTTCCTTACATCATAGTAAAGTGATTATTTTGGCGTTTGGGTCTCCAACAAACAGTTTTCAGATGTATGAAAACCATACTGTATAGAATTATATTTTTAATAGTTTGATTTATAGTTTGTTTAAAAAATTTACTATTAATTTACATGTTAAATGTTAATCCAAAAAAAGGCCAAAATTGTCAATAATGTGTACATTAAAAATCTGTATTTTTACAAATGGTACTTCATTATTTTAGACTATTTGACAGTAAAATTAGACTGTTTAGCTGTATTTTAATCATCTGAAAAGTATATTATTTCACAGATAATTGCCATTATTTTCACAGTTTTTATTTTTTGTACATTTTATACAGACCAATCAATCAATTAATCAGTAACTGATGAGAACATTTTTTGCAGCTCTACTTCGAAGAAACATCTTCCCTGTTGTGCTTTTAAGCCTTACTAAACCAGCATTTTTTCAAAGTGAATAGAATATAATACATGCTGAGAAAACAGCTTTTTTGAAAAGCCTGCATGCAGTGTGGTAAATCTTTCAATCAAATTCCTAATTTTAAGTCAACATATATAAACTGCAGATTTTGCTTCAGTTCCAGCTGACATGTAACACAATCTGAACCTCTGTGGTGGATGTTTGTTGCCATAATCCACCATGTGAGATGTTGTTAACCTTAAAGTTATTACGTCCACAGCCTTGATTTTACACAATTCAACAAAGAAAAACATTTTCTACAGGAGGTGTTTTGCACTGATTCTTTAACCTGGAAAGCTTCATGTTAATCTGAAAGAAAACTGTGAGCAAATGAACAGAGATTTACTTCCAATCGCTTGAAATACGTCCTCCCACTTTACACCTCTATTCAGACTATTCCCGTCTCAATCATGAGTTGTTTGTCTGGACTTGTGTGTATGAGAAAAATAACAATTTATGTTTGTCATGATGTAAACAGCATCCATTCATGGTTTAAGTTCAGCTGAAATCACTGAAACAACATGTTATTTACAGTGTTAGTGAGCATGTGTGTGTCGTGTTGTTTTCACAGCTCACCGAGGGTGAAACCGTCCTTGTTGGCGTACCACACAGTTCCAGCTTCGTACCAAACGTCCCTCACCTGAGACACAAACAAAGACAAATATGGTTTCTGTGAGTGTTGGCAGATACACAATAAATACTTGAGTGTGAAGTATGTCATGTTGAGAAGTGTGTTCAACGACATTAAACTCAGTGTAACGGTCAGTAAAAGTACTAAAAACACATTGTTAATGTCTGACTACTGAACTCAAGCTCTTGATGCTGATTTATTGGTTGGATTACGGCATGCAGATTTTAATTACTTGATGAAGCACTACTTTTAATATCATCTTTATCTTCTTTATCTAAACACTACCACGAATTGTAACTTGTGACTCTTAAATCAGGAGACAAATGAAGCAGAAGTGATAAACTATCAGTAAATGGAACAACAAGAGTCAAATTTAAAGGCCACTTTGTGATTAATTTTGTGATTCCTCTTTAAAATTAAAGTAATCAATCATTTTGGGAGGGGTGAGGTGTTTTAAAAATTTTTATTTTATTAACTATGGCACCTGGATAGCTTAACTTTTCATGACTGGAAACAAGGGGAACAGTAAGCCTGGCTTGTTTCAAGGTGACAAAATCCTCCTCCAAGCATCTTTAAAGCTCACCTGGTTGTTCTGTTTTGGGTTTTTTGTTGTTGTTGCTGTTGTTTTTACCATTAACATTTTTTGTCGATATTATTAAAGGCAGGGGAGCATAGAGGTGGGACAGGCTGCTGTCTTTTTTCATCTCTGTTGTTTTTGTTCTAAGAAAATAAAAGAGTTTTTCAGGTTTACTTTTTTAAAAAAACTAACCTTTTTTTGTTTGTTTTTTGTTGCTAAAGCCAGCAAGTGTTTATCAAAAAATAATGGAAACAAATAATTATCAAAATCACTGCAGATTATCTTTTATTGCTATAAATGGCCAGAAATATGATATAATTACAAATAACTGTGGATTGTTTTGTCCCTACTGGTTATTCATTATAGTTTAGACAGCATGATGGTGAAACAGGTTTTAAATTACACTCTTTGCATGTTTTTTGCTCTGCAGACCCTGGGTACCGGTGCGGAAAGACACTATGTATTTACTGAGCTAAATTAGAAAAAAATTAGATCCCAAAATTAAGTCCAAAATTATTGAAGTACGGTAGTAAAAACAATAGAATTACAGCAAAAAGGTTCCTTTCTTTTTTATTCTCTAACTTGTGCCCCTACTATTTAAATGGGACAGCAACACCACAAGCTCTGCTCTTATAAATGATGACGTACCTCCCTCCTGCTGTGCTCTGTTATGGTGGTGTCTGCTTGCCTTCCCTCCGGCTCCTGCCTCTCCTCTTTCTTCCCCACCTCCTCTATCTTCTCCTTCTTCTGCTCGACCTGCAGCAGCTTCTTGATCTTCTTCTCTGGCCTCTTTTCCTCCTGCTTCTGCTGCTTCTGTTGCTGCTGCTGTTGCTTCGGCAGCTCTGGTGTCACGTCCTGCCGAGTTTCCTGTTTGCCGCCGGGGTCAGGAGACACGATGTGGCGCTGAGACGAGGGCCTGCCGTCCGACTGGTCTGAGTTCTGTTCTTGCTGTTTGCTGCTGTTGATAAGCTGTTCGGCCCGCAGTGACATCTCTGCCTCGAGGATCGGAGGAGTCTGATCTGGAAGGAGGAACTGCTGCACGAGGTTGTCGCTCAGTTTGCTTGGCTGCAGTGGGACAAAGCAAAAAATTGGTGTGGTTCTTTGGGAGATGTTCACCTTCTGACTGTGAGATAGATGATAAGATCAATACAACTTTTACGTCAGCCAATATGAAGCTACAGGCGGCTGCTATGGCAGTTTTATGTGGTCTTTTTCCTGATCAATCATTTTGTTGTGGGAGTTTCAAAATTGAACAAATGACAAAACTGGAGATATGATTAGGATTAGGCTTAACTAATAAGACTAGAAAATAAGATGTGTAAACTGAACTCATGAATATACTGAACAATCCTATGTAAAACCCAACCCAGTGAAAGGCGTTAAACCCAAGCTCTCTGCACATTAGAAACCCAGTTCTCCCTGCATTTCAGACGCCCAGACTCTCTGTATGTTGGACAGCCAAGCTCTCCACACCGCAGAAGCCCCAGCTTTCTGTATATGTGGGTGAGGTCAAATCAAGGTCACCAGGGCCTGGCAGAGAGGGGTTTCCAGGGTGGGTGTAACTTCCCTGTTGCTGGGAGGGGAAAGAAGAGCACCCCGGTTATGAGTGTCAGATTACACAGCCAAGTATACAATAATGCTGACTAACGTTAACTAAGAAAATGGGTTGGGTTTTTATGGGTAGGAGGAGAGTTGGGAGAAGTTGCATAAGTATATCAGGAAATGTATCGCTTTGTTTGCTAGTTAAAATCTCGAGATTTTGCTCATGTTTGTACTTACAGCCTCTGTATTGAATAAACATTATTCACATCAGACTCTGAAGACTTTTTCCTTGAAAACTTTTGTTGAAGATGCCAAATACTAAGACAATAAGCAGTTTTTTGACTACATGTTTGACAAAGCTGCCTGATGAACACTGGCCCATGGCAGGCAGATGAAGTCACAAAAAACTCCAGAGATGTTGAAAACATTACTCTGCTGTTTTTGCAAAACAAATCGTGACAGATTCATGATGAACAACTTAACCTGCCCACAGATTTAAAAGTCATGCTATCTTTTAAAAGCTGTCAAAAACTTTTATCAGCCAGAAACTGTAAAACCAAAAAAAGAAAGAATTTTTAGCTTTCAAACAGTATCTGAACAAATTATCTGTAGTTCATCAAAATCCCTTCATTCTACATTTCTTATCTGAAAATCCCCCCAAAATAAACAGTTTGAGCCAGATCCCGTGTCCTCAGATCAACTAATTCTCCATGATTGACTCAGCTGTGACCAACAACGAAAATTTTTGAGCGTTTTCAGATGAACTGCAGTCAGTGTTTACACAGAGCAGAGAGGAAATAAAGCTTACTGGATAAATAAAATAAATGCAGAATGAATCAATATACAAAGGAGCATGCTGCTGGAAGATACATTCAGTGTGGTGAAACATCTTTTTGGTGTTGATGTGCAGAGTAGAGAGAGACAGTTGGTAAAGGTTGTAAAAATATAAAAAGTTTAACATTGACACTGACAATTATTGGTACCCTGGATGAATTCTCTGTTTTCTGATAATACATGTGGAAAACTTAAACCCTATTCAGGAATTTTGGGGTCTTTTGGATCCCAGGCCAATTGGTTTAGGTGACAGGTATTGTTTTTTTCTTCTTGAAGATTTTTTTTTAAATACAAAAAGAGGGACATTTGTCATGCATTTGGAAGCAAAAATACGTCAACTTATCAGAAAAAAAATTTAACATAGTATAAAAGTCTATAATAAATACCAACAAATATTTTGCACATATTCTTTCTTGGGGTCCAATGGACCTTGAAAGACCCTTTACATATGACAACATGAAAGTCCTGAATAAGAAAAGTGCATTGTGGGTAAACTTTCAAGGCTCACATGACCAGATATGAAGTGAATGACTCACTGCTTTCTCCTCTTTGACCTCCGGCTCTTTATGTTTGGTCTCCTTCTCTGAATCTCTGACCAGTTGTTTGAGGAAACCACCCGGCAGAGCTGACAGAGGCGGCGGAGGAACAGCCGTGGCCACCGGCGTCTTCTCCTCTTTTATCTGTGGTTCCGTTAGACACAAACAGAAAGTCACTCTCTGATTTGGATTTACAGAACATCAGGTCGACACTGCAGGTCTGCATGCTGCACATGCAGGTTCTCAACATCTGCCTCCGCGTACGTTCACATTAAAGACAAGAATACATTTTTAAAAAGTATATTTTCTCACTCACGGTGCGTCTTGTAGTGCTGCTTTTCAATTAACTGGTATTTGAAAACTAAGTGCTCAATAACAGCAGCGCCTTTTAGCTCCTGACCGCTTGTTGTTGTTTAACGAAGCCATGTAAAATTTTATCTTCATACTATGAATATTTTCCAAAAAAAAAACAAAAACAGGCCCTTGTGTTGTTTTTAAATGTTTAGAATGATATAATATTATCCCTGCTGAGTCAACACACACACACACGCACACACATATATACGTGTTATTTTTTCTTCTGTGCTCTTTTGTTTTAGGAAGTTTAAATGTGCATGTAGCACCTTTACATGCCATTTTAAATCATTTATTTATTTTTAAAATATCTTTATTTATCAGTTTTAACTTTTTTTGTGATTTGTACGCTTCACATGTGCCAACATGTGCATTGCCTTGAAATTTTCAAACTCAAAATTAAATTAGGCTTTTTTATTTTTATGTACGCAGTCCATTTTTCCCAACATGCTCCAAACAAGTCTTGTTTTTGATTTATAAACGTTGTCCTCTCTTCCATTTTATAAATATCCAGTGTTATATCCCACCATGCTGACATGGAGGGAATATCCTGTGATAACCATTTCTTCGTTATAGATTTCTTACTTACTTACTTTTTCTCCAATCCTGTGGTAAACATCCAAAATAAACAGCTTTCCTTCTATAAGGAATTACACATTTAAAAATGCCTTGCAGTGCTCCATGAACTTCATTCCATTACTGTCTAGTAAGTGGGCAGTCCCATAGGATATGAAAGTGGTTTGCACATTGGTTCCACACTGTCTCCAACAGAAGTTCCATCAGAGTGTGTTTTTTGACATGGAGTCATAAAGGATCTTATCAAGGTGAAATCATTTATAATAATAAATATTCAAGCGTCTGTATCTCCAGCAGTCTCTCTGGAGATATATGCCGATGAGCAAAGGTATGAAATAGAGATTACGAGGAGTAAAGTCTGTCACCTCTATGGTGAGTGTCCAAATTCTTGATTTTAAATTTAATTTTAGCCATTTCATAAGTTTTCTGGAGCGTTTTCAGCTTCATGAAGAAATGTGAGCTAGCAGCTTTGACGAAGTGCCAGACAGAGAGAGGTGTCCAGAGGCCTGACATTTAGCTAATAGATATCACCTGCTGACACAATAGGGAATATCAGAAAGGTCAGTAGGACAGCTGTTTCACATTCTACGACACGCTGCAGTGTGTAATCATGGCAAACTGTGGAGAAGAGAGCTGAGTAATGCCTAATTATAACACTTTAGGCTGTACGAGGGCCAAAAAGCCACACACGAGCAGGCAGCAGACTCAACCCTCAATTAATGGATTTGTTTGCATGTATGTCACGCTGTTTCGGCAAGCGGTCATCTGTAATTCATCACCGATATCATTTTCCTCTACACACGGTTTATAAAAGCTTCGTCCTGATGCCAAATTTAGAGTGCAAGTGTGCTGGAAGGTGCTTTTGTCAGACTGAAAAACTGGATGACTAACTGGAGAAAATGTGCCAGCTGTGGAAGCAGCTTTGGAAAACGTACACTGAAGTACACCACGCCGTGAAGTTTTACTGATCTGCTCCAGAATTTTATTAGAAAAGTTTTCAATAGAGGAGCACAGCAGGATTGCAACACTGCTGGAGGAAGTATTCACACCCTGAACTAAAATGCAAAACATCAAATAAATGAGCTCACAAATTAGCTTCACTTCGAGCAGCTCCAACACACCGATACATGAGTTTAAATCATCTGTTAGCATCAGTCACAGGAGGCATGTTACTGGATAACGGGTCCCTATATGAAAAATCAATCTGTTCCTCACATTTTTTTTTTATTTACAATACTTTAGTATAGTTAATGAAATCATGCAAATGTTCCCTTCATATTTTAAATGTTATTAAAACTACAGGCACAAGTACAAAGGAGTGGTTCCAATTTCATGCTCTTTTATTTGTGTATATTTTTCCATCATTTTTAATCTCTCACAACTTCATCAGTACAAAAAACACATTTGAGCGCTGCAAACTACAACCAAATCAATTTTACATCCACTCCAGGTGTCACAATCTAAAGTCGAAACTGCAGCAGTTTAATATCTATCACATGGTCATAGAAACAATCATTCGTACCCTGGATGTGTTCTCTGTTTTCTGTGATTAAGTGCAATTTGAGTATCCAACATGAAATGAAAAATACTTTATTTATCCCAGAAGGGAAATTCAACATGAAGCCAGAAAAATGATCATGAAGGAATTTAATGGTCTTATTTCTGAACACAGAAGGAATCGTGGCTAGAAGATGATCCTGGTGTGAAAAAGGAGAAACAAATGAGACCTTTCATTTGCTAGAACTTGTTTTGACTAACCATCTATCCCACATGGTGATAAAACCCTTTAAAATGAACCCAAAACTGCTGCAGTTTTGCTTCTGAAACTATGATATATCCCATAATACTGATGCTCAAAGTTGGTTGTAGAAAAAAAAGGTGCTGAATAAAAATGATTCTGTCTTTCGATTGTGACACCTGGAGCTGAAGTGATTTGGTTGCTGATTTTTTTTACAGAGCTCAGATGTGTTTTTCAACCCTGAAAATGTCTCCTGTTCTGAAGACGTCATAAGGACTGAAAAATACTGGAAACAAATAACATGGAATGAAAAGCACCAAATCTGGGATCACTCCTAAGTACTTCAAGGGCCTGTAACTTTGAAAATCTTTATAGTTTGAAGGTCACATTTTGCACAGCTTCATTAAATTTACTGACGTTATTGTGCATTTTAAAAAAACATCTGATCTGATGGCGTTAGGTGGAAAGCAAAGCTCAAGTATCAGTGAGTTGAAGCTGCTCGAGGTGAAGCTAGTTCATGATTTATTTCATGTTTGGTATTTCTCGGGCGGCTATGAGGTCTCAGAAACGCTGGAAAAAGTAGTGTGAATTAAAAGGCGCAAAATCTGATCCTACCCTCACAAGAGCATGTCATTTTGAAAATATACAACATTTCTGCACATTTGTCTATAATATAATATAACTGTAAATCTGCAAATTCTAAAAGGGGGTCAGGTGGGAACCTTTTTAAAAAAAAAAAAATTGGTTGCTGTCACATGGGATAGCCCTGTAAGCTGGCAAGTCATGATGATGATGCTGAAATGGTGACCAGAATATTAGGTTTGTCTTAGTTCTACATTCAATTTTTGGTTAATTTGAGTAAAACGACACCACATGACCACAACTCAGAGCTTTTGTGCCTTAATTTCTCTTTAATTGCTTCTTTTCTATCATATCAAAGTCTTTTTGTACAACTGGTTCCTGCATGAGGACCCCCAATCAAAATCAAATCAAAAATGACTGAATATCAACAAAAACGTCGGCTACGAACCGCAAATGTCGAGTGACAGCATGAGGCTCTAAAAAGCTCCGACACCACACATGCAGGATGACTAATGCAGCAGTCACGGTGACATGCCACGATGATTCAGGCTTCCAGCAGAGGGGTCCACTCGCTGTGTAATCAATGCTACATCCTACTACACAACACACACACACACACACGTGCACTGGAGAGTACATATTAGAAGTTCAATTAACGCAGCATGCAGCACCTCCCTTCTTCTCCCACAGTTTTAAGCGTGAAGACAGAGCCATGGCTGCACAGTGAGGGGGTGGTGGTGGTCGTCAGCCAGATGTGATGGTGGTGGCGGTTTGTGTGTGAGTGTGTGTGCAGAAAAAAACCTGACAATGAAAAGAGACAGTAGAAAGTGAAGGAGGTGACAGAAGCTTCGGTGCATTTTAATCGCTCACATTGAATCATTCAGGGACGAAATATCACACAAACGCACACAATCACAGCACAGTGACAGTTTTCAACCACTGTGTCCATTTAAAAAAACTGTCTCTCCACAACAACCCACAAAGACATAAAATGACTACAAACAGACACAAATCACCGACACAGAGATAAAAAGCTATCACACAGCCAAACAAAGCAACCAGAAAAAGGCAAATTGACCACATAGACACACAAAATAACTACAAAGTGACACATAACCATCACAAATATCTCAGAGGCTTGCAGTCCAGGACCAAAACCGTTATGGCAGATCAGATAATTCAGAAACTATGCTGCTGCACAATCTCAGATTTTAAGTTTAAATTGTTTATTATTATTATTGTTATTATTATTATAATAAATGGACCGGGGATAAAATAAGCATCATGTGGTGTTAAATTTCAAGAAGATAACATGGAAGCAACTTGAAACTTTGCACATACAATCATAATGTATAGACCCCTATGTATACTAGTTTTTGTGGTGCTACAAATGAGTCCATGTCACCATTTTGACATGTCAGAATATTTTTTAAAAACTGGAAACTTGGTGTGCAATACTTGCTACACATCAGATTCTACTGATGTTAGAGGCCTCAAATGTCAGTGAAATGTCAACCAATGACTGTATTTTAAATTTTTTATTTTTTTTTTGGCCTTTGTGCCTATATTTGATAGTGAAGTGAGAGAGAGACAGGAAAGTGGGGGAGAAGAATGGGGAGAAGACGTGTGGGAAAGGGCCATGAGTGGGATTCGAACTCATGACCTCCACATCGGGAGTGTAGCCCTGTACATGAGACGCCAGTTCAACCAGGTGAGCTATAGCGGTGCCCCAGTGACTGTATTTTGTAACGGAAAAATGGATGCATCCATATTATGGTCTGCACTACTGCACTTCCGGTTAGATGCTAACTGCATTTCGTTGCTTTGTACCTATACATGTATAATGACAATAAAGTTGACTTTAATCTAATATATACACTTTCAGGGGCCCAAATACCGACCTCATTTAAAATCTTTTGAAATATTTTCCAAGGTGAATCATCTTCAGTCATTTTAATCTGCTGGAAGCAACTGTGTTTGTTTCCTCACCACATTTCGTGACTGTTGGAGTTTCAGTTGTGGAGATATTGAAACCATAAAATGGTCACGTTTTTGGGGGGGTTTTGGTTTTTTTTCCAAGAGTGAAAGTACAAAAATTCCCAGGTCCCAGGCCAGACAGTTATGAACTTCTCAAAATTCTGCCACATATTTTTTAGAACTTAGTTTTGGTACCCAAAGAAAAAATAGATAAACTCTGAGCAAAACCTAAGATGGTGCAGCAAAACCACTACCCATCTCATTGGGTTTTATTGTCCTGTAATCTCATCACTCTTTTTAATTGGTCTAATGCCATGAAACCAACAAGTCCTACGTTGGTGAGTTTACACACAACTGTAACTGAGCATATGATCAAACAGTCGACTGACTTTATGGATAGTTTAATGATGTTGCACCTCATTTATTAACAGAGAGAGCAGCTGGACCCTCCCATCTACAGGATTATGTTTATATTGTCTTTCTGGTTTATGACTGGTATGACTATGGTTGTATTTTATCATGCAGTTTAGCTGTCCAATGTTCTCTCTCAGTATTTAACACTTGATGTACACCAGGACGGAATGTGGTTATGGATGGAAATTGGAGGTACACATAGGGATGACTGTTAATCTGTAATCTGGAGTTTGTAGAGGTAGGCATTTCTTTTGACCTTTTTTCCGCCTGTTTATGTTCCCTCAGGTACGTCAGATATTAAACTTTTTGTTTAGATACACTCTAATAAATGATTGTAAAAGCAAAGACTAATAATAACAATAATAATACATTTTATTTAGAGGCGCCTTTCTTGGCACTCAAGGACACCGTACATACATTAGACAAATCAAAATAAAAGAGACAACATTAAAATAATTAAAATCACTAAATTAACGGACAGAACAACATGCTTCAGGTGGAGTAGGCAGTCTTGAACAGATGAGTTTTGAGTTATGATTTGAATTGGGGGGAGTGAATCGATATTTCTGAGTTGGGATAGTAGTGAATTCCAGAGACGGGGAGCAGAGCGACTGTAAGCTCTGCTCCCCAAATGCTAACGGTGACGTCCTACTGCAAAAACGGGGTGAAAGGATCAAGTCTAGTCTAAACAGTTCACACAGCTCTGTTTAGACTAGTGACCTGATTTAAGCATTTCTGAATATTGTTGCTAACTTTACACTGATTCCACTAATTGGTTTTGTTTTGTTTTTTAACTTATTTATTTCAAGTTCATTTTTTTCCTTGGTTTCTACAATATTTTTATTAGACTACAGTTGTCATCCGTTGCTGATTTTGAATAAATGTTCCCAATGCATGGATGTTTTAATGCTATGTGCACTTTTAAATGTCACACAGAGTTGGTAGATCTTAACTCTAAACAACAAAAGACACTTTATTAGGAGAAAATGTGGTCATTTACAGGCAACTACAGTTACAGTTCATGTCGATCACAGCACCCACACTATATAAATACTGTATATTATTAGAAAATCTAGTCAGGGTATTAAATAATGAACTTTATATTCTACTTTAGTGCTGGAATTAGTTATATAGGAAAAAAAACTTACAGAACTTTGCAGGAAAACCTGTTGCAGTGTAGGTCTGTTTGCTTGTTATTTTGCCCCTGTAGCTAAATTTGAATCCTCAGACCTGTAAATATATTTTCAGTAAACACTCCTGTTATCAAATCTGTTTGTATTCCTGAGTGGGAGCTGCAGGGGAATGTGGTTCGCTTTCATATTGTGTCTCGATGGCTCAAACAATGGCAGGCTGTGAACCAACAGCCCAAAGAAGCCATTTTAGTAAACAGATACATTGTAACCTGACTTTAGATCACAGCGCAGATATTATACATTGACTAGTATAGACTAGAGAAAAGATATTTGACTTCACCGTGCTGCTGAAAGGAAACCGGCAGGTACTTTAAGTTGGAACGTTTTCTTACATGTTGCTCAATGTGTGAGTCAACAAACCATATATGTCACAACTCTGACCAGTTGTTTTCACTGGCTCTCTCGCTTAACACACCAAAGAAGCACAATACAACCGCAAAGAGACGCAAATAACCACAATGACATGAATTGCAAATACGAATTGAGCACGGACACACAAAAAAAACCCCCACAAAAGACAAATAAAGACCACAAAGTGACACAAAATTACTATGTTGAGACAGCAAACAATCACAAAGAGACACAAATTGAACTAAAAAAGACAAAAAAATGACCGCAAAGAAACAGAAAACTATCAGAAAGAGACAGGAAACTATCCCCAAGAGATACAAACTGACCTTAAAATACAAAAAGTGTTAACAACGACACACAAAATGAGCACAGAGACAAAAACCCCACAAAAGACAAATAAAGACCATAAAGTGATACAGAAATAGTGTGAAGAGACACCAAACAACCACAAATAAAGACCACAAAGTGACACAAAACTACTATGAAGAGACACCAAACAACCACAAAACTATCACAAAAGAGATAAACTGACCATAAATGAATTTCAGCCACATTATACAAACTGTGAATTTTCTGTTTCCTCACTTGGAGAAATAAGCAGTGGAGCATCGCTTTTGTGCTTGGATGTTTTTTAAGCATATGTTTGTAATACCACACACAGTTTCTAGCCAGATCACTGTCACACTATGAAATCTGTTTATTTCTCTGCGTCTCATGTTTCAGTCCGGTAGTTCTAGCGTCTCCTCTGATCATGAGGAGTGAGTTTAGGGGCCACACACAAAATCACATACGTAAACCATTCTCTTTACTATGTTTTCGATCTGATTTCAATCCCTTCAGACAGTACAAGATCTCAGCTGCTGCCTGGAAGCGCCACGTTCAGTGGCAGGATGTGTCAACAGGCAGTTTGTCAAAACTTGACAAACACCAAAATCTGTTCAAGGAGTCAAGAGAAATTTCCTCCAGATAAAGAAACACATTTGGCAGTAAAGATTGAGTCAGCCAAAAAAAAACGGTGCTCCGGTGACTGAGCTGGTGTATATTCTGTCTGAGGCCCGTGTCAAATCACACCACTGCTGTATTGCAGCGCACAGGCCTCATCCAGCTCCAGTCGACTATAAATAAATCAAATGTGTTACCTCTGATCGCCAGGACAGGACAGATCACACAGCGTCTAAGGCCATACCTTCCAAAACAGCCAAGAAACGTCTAAAAGATCCACACAGCGAATCCTGCGAGGCCTAAAGAGAGTCCTACTGCCGCCCTAACACCACCACAGACGCACTGGGTGAGACCCACTGAAGGGGGCATGCAGCAATAGAGTCAGAAATAGAGCGACACACACAGATAAGCAGCACGGCCGGCCTGACAGACGATTCCTCTATAAATATCTGTAGGCTGAGGCTGGAGGACGGGGATACGACCCTGTTTGGAGAACCGGCTGATCCTGAGCGACACAGTGAGAGCAGTGTGAAGAGTTCATGGTTTCTAAAGAGGTGGAGAAGATCTGCTGAAGATCTGAGTCACAGTCCCTTTCACTTCTTTTCTACTGCTTCTGTCAGACTTCTGTCAGCTTTTAATCTGTTTTCACAGCATTAAATTGAAAGAAGCACTCTGTGATCAACTTATAGTCTGTCTGACAGATTATGAAAGACAGAGTCACAGAAATAGTTCAAAATAAAACCTAGAGCTGTACCGTTCAACAATGCTTCATTTTAAAACTGGATCAAATAGTCTAGTGTGTGTAATATAAAAGACAAATATCCACAAAGACACAAAATTATCACAAAGAGATGCAAAAATACTAACAAAAACAAGCAAAACAACCACATAGAGATGATAAACAATCACAGAAGGGTAAAACTATTACAAAAAAACAAAAATATCACAAAGAGAAGCAAAACAACCACAGACAGATGCTAAACCATCATAGAGTGGCAAAACTATCACAAAGAGACACAAAACGCCAGAAAAAGATGCAAAAAGACCACCAAAAAACACAAAATGACTACAACAAGACATGAAACAACCACAGATAGACACAAAACTATCACACAAAGATGAAAAACGATGTAAAACCATGACAAAGAGACATGCTTTGTGAAGACGTTTCAGCTCTTCAGTTCTAAGTGACTTGGATGAAGGTGAAACATCTTCAAGAACCTCAAAGAGAAGTCCAGTAGTTTTCTGCTGAAGTTCCTAGGATCACCCTGACCTAGATAACTAAGACTCTACAAATGACGATAAGTATAAAACAACAATAAACCAATGAACACACCTCCTAAGCTAACATGTTTTTTTTGTTTGTTTTTTTAACCCATATTTCATCAGAGGGAACACACAATTATTTTTGTGTTTGAGGCCTCTGCAGCTTTACTTGTTGTAGTGTGAATGCAGGAGGGGTGACAACGGACGCCGGTTGTTCCACAAAGAGGACACAATCTCACATGAGCAGTTCTGCATCAGCTGTCCCCCTTGATTGACATCTCCAGCTGAGGGGGTGAGGAGGAGGAGGAGGAGCCTCCCTGCTTCTGTGTGGAGGGGGGAGAACCAACAGCACTTCATAGAAATGTTTGTATACTAATGACTTTTCAGAAATTATACTGGTATTAGTAGAGACAGCTGTGCAGCTGAATGTAAATGGTGATCTGTTGACATTTATGGTGTCCAGAGCATGAATCCTTCATTGATCCTCTGTTTTCAAACTATAACAGAGAAAAAAAAAGTGACAAAGAGAAATAAAACTATCCCATGCCTGATTTCACTCCTTTCAAACTAATGTTACGGAGATAAGAGGCATCTCTGTGCACAGCTGCCTTACAGCGTGTACTGTGTGAGGCGTTTAGGAGACATCTGTAATCGTAGCTTCAGAAAACAACCTGGGTGACACTCTCCCTGGCTAAACTGCATGACACTGGTTACACCGAGCTGTTGGTGACTATGACCCTGTCAAATGACATGCAAACCTACTGTGCAGTTTATGTAAGGAAAAGTCGACTTCAATGACAATATAACATATTCATAATATTTAAAAATGTCATCAATATTCACATTTAACTGGAAAATTGTATGTCACCTATAAAGGGTATTATCTTAATGACAGTCCAAATTTAAGGAAATTATGTATGTCAATTCAGCTGACTTTCCCTAAACTTGTACATCATCCTGAAAAGGAATCCTTTGAAAAGTTCAGTTAACTTATAATGTAATGTAACTTTATAATGTAAAGATTACTCATACCAGTTTATGAACATCGGATGATATTTTAACATTACAGCATTAATTTTTGTAATAAAAAGTACTGTATAAAAACTAATATAACCAACAGTTCATTTCTACTTGTCATCTCAAATAAGATAAATATTTGCTGAAATAACTGATGGCCGCAGTCAGCCAGACTGCAATATCTGTGTAAGCACTTGAGCAGAATTTTCTACAAACATAGTAAAACTTTGTATTGTTTTCGCAGAACATGGCAGTAGGCACTAAAGTAGAGACAGCTCGGCAAACTCTACACTTTTTTGGGGACTTTACTGCTGGTTAACATCACTGTTGTCTGTCAGCAACAACATATCAAACACATGCAAACTTCAACTGAGGGTCGACTTCATGCTTTTGTTCTAGCATTTGCTAGCGTGTGAATGTTTACCATTTTAGTTTTTAAACTTTAAACTTGTTAAAACAATGTGTAGTTCAAACAATTAGTTTAGAAATTCAACTGTTAGCTACAGAATTAGCCAATATTTTCAGCTGTTGTTGGTCATACAATTTGTTAACGATTTCAGCTGTTCTACATAATATTAATAATTTCAACCATGGATTGTACTGTAAGCTAATATTAGCAATTGTTAGTAATACTATTAGCTACCACTTTCCACTCTTAGCCATAGTATTACCTCAAAATATCCACTTTAGCTAGCTATTTTAGTCATTTATCCATCTTTATCTAAGTTTTAACGACGAGCCATGTTTCCAACTTATTATTTCAAACTGTTTATTCCTAATTTTACAATTGTACAGTTCTATAATTTCATTTAGCAGATGCTTTTATCCAAAGCGATGTACAGTACAGACCAAAAGTTTGGACACCTCTTCTCATTCAATGAGTTTCCTTTCTTTTCATGACTATTGACATTGTAGATTCACACTGAAGGCATCAAAACTATGAATTGTATGTACTTAACAAAAAAATGTAAAACAACTGAAAATATGTCTTATATTCTAGTTTCTTCAAAGTAGCCACCTTTTGCTGTGATTGCTGCTTTGCACACACTCTGCATTCTCTTGATGAGCTTCAAGAGGTAGTCACCTGAAATGGTTTTCACTTCACAGGTGTGCCCTGTCAGGTTTAATAAGTGGGATTTCTTGCCTTATAAATGGGGTTGGGACCATCAGTTGTGTTGTGCATAAGCCAGGTGGATACACAGCTGATAGTCCTACTGAATAGACTGTTAGAATTTGTATTATGGCAAGAAAAAAGCAGCTAAGTAAAGAAAAACGAGTGGCCATCATTACTTTAAGAAATGAAGGTCAGTCAGTCCGAAAAATTGGGAAAACTTTGAAAGTGTCCCCAAGTGCAGTCGCAAAAACCATCAAGCGCTACAAAGAAACTGGCTCACATGAGGACCGCCCCAGGAAAGGAAGACCAAGAGTCACCTCTGCTGTGGAGGATCAGTTCATCCAACTCACCAGCCTCAGAAATCGCAGGTTAACAGCAGCTCAGATTAGAGATCATGTCAATGCCACACAGAGTTCTATCAGCAGACACATCTAGAACAACTGTTAAGAGGAGACTGTGTGAATCAGGCCTTCATGGTAGAATAGCTACTAGGAAACCACTGCTAAGGACAGGCAACAAGCAGAAGAGACTTGTTTGGGCAAAAGAACACAAGGAATGGACATTAGACCAGTGGAAATCTGTGCTTTGGTCTGATGAGTCCAAATCTGAGATCTTTGGTTCCAACCACCGTGTCTTTGTGCGACGCAGAAAAGGTGAACAGATGGACTCTACATGCCTGGTTCCCACCGTGAAGCATGGAGGAGGAGGTGTGATGGTGTGGGGGTGCTTTGCTGGTGACACTGTTGGGGATTTATTCAAAATTGAAGGCAAACTGAACCAGCATGGCTACCACAGCATCTTGCAGTGGCATGCTATTCCATCCAGTTTGCGTTTAGTTGGACCATCATCTATTTTTCAACAGGACAATGACCCCAAACACACCTCCAGGCTGTGTAAGGGCTATTTGACCAAGAAGGAGAGTGATGGGGTGCTGCGCCAGATGACCTGGCCTCCACAGTCACCGGACCTGAACCCAATCAGATGGTTTGGGGTGAGCTGGACTGCAGAGTGAAGGCAAAAGGGCCAACAAGTGCTAAGCATCTCTGGGAACTCCTTCAAGACTGTTGGAAGACCATTTCAGGTGACTAACTCTTGAAGCTCATCAAGAGAATGCAGAGTGTGTGCAAAGCAGTAATCAAAGCAAAAGGTGGCTACTTTGAAGAACCTAGAATATAAGACATGTTTTCAGTTGTTTCACACTTTTTTGTTAAGTACATATTTCCACATGTGTTAATTCATAGTTTTGATGCCTTCAGTGTGAATCTACAATGTCAATAGTCATGAAAAGAAAGGAAACTCATTGAATGAGAAGGTGTGTCCAAACTTTTGGTCTGTACTGTACACCTGAGAGCAGATGCAACACATGCAAGGATCTAGTCTGGAGAAAACAATCTAGATAAGTGCCATAGAACAAATTCCAGTGTGATAGGGTGTTGATGCCAACAGCAGGCTGTGTGGGAGGTAATAGGATTTTCTTTGTTTGTTTTCAATCTGTCAAGTCTTGGGTCTTTAGTCTTTTCTTAAAGACTGAGAGGGAATCAGCAGATTCAACAGAGTTTGGGAACTCGTTCCACCACCGGGGAACCACAGGAGAAGAGTCTAGCTATTGAACTTGGGCCCTGTTGTGGTGGTTGTATCAGGCGGTTTTTGTTGGTTTAGCCAGTCTTTTCAACTGTGAGTCCATTAGGTTTAGCTAATGTCATTTTCTTTATCCATATGCTGTCCTCATACCTTCATTGTGATCGTTTGCATCTTCATCTAAATAGTCATGTCGTGTAGCAGCACTGAAACACTAATATTTATCATGTTTACCATCTTGTTTTAAACCTAAAATGCAATGTAAGTCAATGATGTGTGACCAAAACATTTTATTTGCTGCTTCATGCTGTAATTTTTTAAAGTTTGCCATTAGCTACCACACTAGACAGCTAGCTTGCTAATGCTAATAAAAACTTTATGCGAGCAAAAATGAATGCTAAGGTCAGTATCTCAAAAATACAGAAACTATTTCAAGATTAATGTGTTTTAAAAAGTGTTACACATGTTATATATAATGTATCATCATTTTTAGGAAAAAAACAAAATAAGGGCCAAAATTTTAATGATTTGGAAGCTGTTTTGTAGTGGCTGAACATTTTAGTTTGTGTGTTGCTATAATACTGCTACAGATTAGCATTACAGTAAAGCTACTCGACTAACGCAGCTAAAATGTTTGTGATACCAAATAATTCTTTACTTTAAAAAAAGTATCAATGATGTGAAAAGGGACGCAATAATCAAGCTCTTTATGTTGATTAACAATTACAGAAAAAGGAGAGCTGCTATCCAGCTTTGACGTAACACTTAATAGACTCCAATTAATTTTTATTATTAGTTGTAATCGCAATAAAAATAAACACATAAAAAACTGAAACAACCTAGAGTACACTATAATCGTACTATATTTAATTCTGCTCACCTCATTACTTACAGTCTGAGGAGAAGAAGCTGAAGCTCATTCTCTGGATGTTGGTGGAGACGATGATGATCCCAAATTCAACATTTCTTCTCAGTCTTCTCAGTCTACATCACCTGTAAATGTCCCTACACCTGTTAGTCAAGAAAACAACCGAACATCTCCCTGGTCCCACCGACATTAATGTGTCTGTAGATTGCTGCGTTTATTCCTCACTTATTCCTGGAAGCCCATAGACAAGACGAATTTTACTCCCAAAATTTTGACTTTAAGCAACATTTTGTGCTTGGTATGCTTTTAACATACTGCACTGTAATTTGCTTCATTATAACAAAATGTGCTTTAGGGTTCTATTCCTAAGTTCATCTTACTGTTTCTAAAAATGTACTTGTACATGTTTCCTATCTGGGACAAGTTCTGTTGGTAGCATTTCTACCATGCCCTTCTCCATGTCTCTGAAGATATGGGCTTCCAACATTTTCGAAATGCTACATATACTCTTAGGAGGGGGAGAAAAAAAATTGATCATGCTCTGCTGCTTTAGTCTTAAACTAAATAAATCTGAATTTTGAATCAACCCATTGAGATCTTGTATAAAAAAAAAAAAAAGGTTTTAGAAGCTTCCATAACCACACAAACATCTCAACCGTTTATACTCACAGCACCCTTAATATTTCTGATATAGATACGGTCTCTGGCAATTTCAAGACAACTGAAAGATCAGGAAAAAGCACATAGGTGGAAGTAAGTCTGACTTTTTTTTTTTTTTTTTAAGTCAAGCTATCATTTTCAAGGTCAAGAGTGAACTCTGAGGCATATCTTAACACCAACCAGAATTCTCAAAAATCCAGTAAGATTTCATTTACTAGCGACTTTTAAAGCTTTCAATCACATCACACAGGCTTCATCTACAGGTTGAGTGTGCTCAGTTATCATGCAAGCTGTCCTGCTTTCATCCACTCCATTTGTAGGACTTATGGCTAAAAGTTAAATATGAAAGTTCATTTTTGAAAGATTTCACAAACATGATGTGGTTGAATGCTCAGAAAAAAATCAAGTAAGTTCATCTTGAATTAAGGCAATTTGTCCAACTATCATTTTACCAGTCAGGAGTGAACCAGCCGATGTTGACTTCAGTTAGTTGCTGGTTTTGGAACCGAACGTAGATGTATGTTTCATAGGCCACCACCAAGATAAAGCCCACTTACTAGCCATTTCCTGAGCTTTTAACCATATCGCACAGGCTTCATCTGTAGACGACGTTTGTCCAGTTGTCATGATGAAAGCTAACATGAAAACTCAGCAACATGGTTTGATCAATTGTATTTTAGGACCTGCATGAAAAGTTCTTAACACATGATGTGGTTGAAAACAAAAGTAAGTGAACATTGATTTGGGATTGTTGCGTCAAACTATAATCGTCAACATGAAGAGGGAACTTTAAGGCGTATTCCTCCAGCGAACACCAACATAGAAGACAAAAAGTTAACTCACTTTGCAGGTGGTTTTAAGCTGAAAACGACTGAAATCTAACACACACAAAAAAGTATGTAGACTGAATTTGAACTGTTTTGTCAAACTACAATTTTTCCAAATCACCAAATGAACTTCGAGGCTCATGTTTGAACCCTAAGCCACCTGAAGTAGCAAAAGTCAAAAGTATTAAAAGGCTTCAAGTAAAGCATGAAAAGGTTATAATTGTATTGTTCCAGAAATGATGTAGCTCAAACCCCCCCCCCAAAATATGAAGGAAGTGGACTTTAAGTTTGAATAGTTTTGTCAGAGTGCGACCTCTAGCTACTCAGCAGCCATTTCATAAAAAACAAACAAAACAAGCTGACCATAAAGTGTTTTAGATGATTTCATCAAACTTCAGTGGTCATGTGACTGAAACATTCACCAAAAAGTAAATGAAACGTGACAGGAGGCAACACGGAAAAAGGATTTTTATTCATGAACTGTTTTTACAAGCAGTCCAACACGCAACTTCCTACCTGTCTCAAAAAACAAAACAAAAAAAATCATTGAAATAAAATAAATTTTTATAATAATCACTGAATAATATTATCAATTATATATCAGTATTATCATGACCTTAATTTCAATAACCCAAAGCCAGTAGTATCTGTGTTTGTCTGTGGCGTATGAAAAACAAAAAGAGAGCTTCTGATGGGTGTAAACCGGAGGATTTTCTACAGCGTGGAGGCAGCGAGGCAGCTCCCCGCTCACGCAATAAATATGAAAGAGCAAAGAGTCCGAACAAAAATAGTCATCTGGAATTCGCAAGTACGATATCTCTAATAAGTCTTTATGTGCAAGATTTGAGCTGAAGTCTTCACCACAAACAATTATACTCACATCAAAACCCCTGACCTCCCCGCAACAATTTCATTTTGTTTTCTACATTAAATCTTTTAAATAAACCTAGAGCATTTTGTCATTTCATATACACATATATTTATATACTTAGATTTTTTTTTTCCTATATGCCATCCTTTTTAAAATTGTGTGTCTGAGCAAAGAGAATCTGTGTGTAAAAATAAAAATGGATAGCGATAATGAGGCTCACACGCTCACATGACATACATACAGTGTGAAAGGAAACTTTTTAGTACACAGAGCTGGATGGTGTTTGTCTCCGAGTCGCACACACACCGGCGGCTAAACGTTTGGTCACAGTTTTGTACCCTTCAAAACTTCCGCCGCTGCAGAGTTCTCGCGTGGGGAACTCGAGTGTGTGTGATTTTGAGCTGATTGAGTCCGAAGGGTCGAAGGTTCAGAAAAAGGAGGCTTCCCATTGGTTCCACTCGATCAGCAACAGTTATTTGGCACATTTAACAACTATTACATCGGGCTAAAAAGGTGCAACAACATAATGAAAACAATAAAAACCATTTTGGTTTACAAAAATAAAAGACACCTTGAGAGGTGACAACATTTCTCTATAAGACGATAATATCTCCCCCTGACTGGTAAAGGCTACAAAGAAAAAACAAACAAAAAAAAAAACAATCACGATGCACCCCTATCAACCTTTTTCCTACTGAAGGTCACACATCACAGCTCTGGAAATGCATGGACATCACAGACAAGGACACTGTACTGCATGAGAAATAAAAGCCCTGAAATTTATGAACAACAAACTGTTTGCTCCTCCTCGACTGCGTGTCCTTTAACTTTGTGCGACTTCCTGTCCTTCTGTTAAACTCGGAGCGCAAAAGCCCCGACCATAAGAACGGTACACCTCGTCTGAGCTGCGTCACATTCAGGAAAAATAAAGACATAACATCGTGAAAAGACCTCGAGGAAAACTCCACCCTGAAACACTTGACAGGACACGAACGCACGCTGTGATTCATGCCGTCGATGTGCTTTCATCATTCTGAGCGCTGCTTCCAGCTGAGGAGTGAAGTCAAAACTCTATAAGTCAAACTCCACAGTGATGAGCTGATGCAGAGCCAAAGTCAAAGTGCAGAGGTTCTGGTCCAAAGACTTCCACATTCACAACTTGCCACAGCAGCCACGTTTATAATTTTCTTCAGTTAATTTCTTAATGAGCTGTTTTTGAAATAACAGTAAGCAGCTCTACCACAGAAGTATTTTGTTCCCACACCAGAAAAAGTATTAAAAAAACATCAGTACCACACTATAACAAGAGATGTTTTGACATAAGATGTTTTCATGTTATAACGAGTAGTTTTTAGCTTATAATGAGATGTTTTCACGTTATAACAAGATATTCTCACGTCATAACATGATATTAATTCTGTTTTTCTGGTGTAGCAGCAGTACACGTCTGTGCTCTCCCTCTGGGCTGCAGAAGATGTTAAAGAAGCAGCAGAAATGAAATAAAATCCTTGATTAGAACAGTGCACTGTGTCAGCACACAATAGGCAAACTACAAGAACAATGTTGGCAACATTTTAAAAAAGGATATATTTTAATTTATGGTAAAACCGGTTCAGATACGGAGAGGCTGCGCGTTTACGGCCACAGTATTTTCTGATAGTCTTACTAACCTAATTTTATTTTAAAAAGTCAAAAACTGCTCACTTCAAACTCCAGATGTGGAGATGTGATTTAGATGCTGGATCTGCTCAGGACTCTGCTTTGACTGTCTACAAGCCCAGAATGCGAGGGAATGGCATGACTTTAGCTAATTATTAATTAACAGCTTGTCATTTTTGAAGCAAAAGTGTCAACTCAAGTCCCCTGCTGCAGCTTTTCAAAGATTTGATGCCTGATGTGTCCTGTCTGATTGGAAACTAAATATTTCGGGACATTTGGTTGAAAAAAAAAAAAAAACATTTATACACCAAACAGTTAAGAAAATAATTGGCAGATTAATCAGTGAGAAGAATGGCAGTGAAAATTGCATTTTGAATAAGCATTTGCAACTTCCTTCCGTTTTTTTTTTTTTTTCCTCAATGGAAACTCAACTGATCGCTCTCTACAGGCTGGAATGAGTGCAAAAACTAGAAAATTTGAAACCCTTCATAACAAAACAAACAATATATAAACACCTGACATGCCTTTAACATGACAGATCATGTGTAAAAGCGATAGCTAGCTGTGTTTGAGGGTGGATTTTTCCTTTAATTAGCTTCAGCTCGTCCTCTTCATTGTCCTCCAACAGCTGAGTCAAAGTGTAAACCTGCGGGGATGATTGTGTGCGAACGCAACAACGAATTGCTGCAGAGCGCAACGTTTGGCCCTTAAAGAGGTTCTTCAAACCGACACAGTCCCAACTGAGGTAATGCAGTGCTGCGAGTGATTGAAAGCTGTCAGACTCTTGCCTGTCCACACCCCAACACCCACCCCGCCTCACGCCTCCTCTGCGTCTTCTTCTTCCCTCCCCTGAAAGCGAGGACAGAATCACGAACAGGCAGACAGAAGTCCCCGATAATGCAAACACACTGGACTAAAACACTGGAGATGCACAGAGAAAGGGTTGCTTATATACACTCAAGAGTCACTTCGCCTCTTTTTCTGCAAGTGCAGCCTTCATACACAATACCATCGCCCGTGGTTACCGATCCCCTTGGGTACACTGGTCGTCATGGTTCCCATAGCAACCGGCTGCTGTCTGTCAGCCAATGGAATCTCAGTCTCTATGGCAACTGGCTGCACAAGAGCCAATCTGAGAGGGTCCTTCCTGTTTTCTGCATTGGAATGATCAACCGCCGACGCCCTCCGAGTGTCCGGGGGTGACGTCCGCCACCGGAGCAGCTCCTCCCGGCCGCTCAGGTGACTCAAGTAAAATACATGTGTTGGCACTTAACGCACGTCTGGGAGGAATGGTTGCAGAGAGGGATGAGGAGAACCAGTCGAGCAGCCTCTTTTTTTTTTCTTTCTTTTTTTTTTTATTATTATTTGTTATCATTGGTTTAAATGTGTGTTTTTACATTCTACGCAAGAGCCTGGTCTCATCTGCATCACCTCACAGAAAGGAAGGTGGAGGAGAGAGGGATTTCCTACTCCTTCCTACTCCTCCTCCTCGCTGGCCAACAGTAAAGCTGATCGGATCGGGCTGCTGTGCTTCACAGCGATCCGAGAGAGGACACCTCCAAACAGAGCGAGGTGGTGGTGGTGGTTGTGGTGGGGGGTATTGAGAGGACCAGGCATCACATTCATGCAGAGGTTCTTCACATGCTGAATCCTCCTGAATGTTTCTTCGTCCTCTCAGTAACTGGCGGGGTCCCATGGATGAAAAAAAAAAAAAAACAAAACAAAACTAAATGAAGTAATCTGATTGGTCATCGTGAGGTGTGCGTCGTCATCAGAGGCTGGTGGTCCGTACACACACTGCGAGGCGTCGAAGGGGTGGGTGGGACGATGTCGGGGTGAACGTCTCGATGAGGAGGGATGCAGTGTGTGTGTGTCGAGGTGTGTGTGTGTGTGTGTGTGTGTGTTTGTATACGTGTGTGCTTGTGTGTTTGTGTGTGCGGGTGTGTGTTCACAGGCCGTTGCTGTTGCGGTGTGTGAGGGGAGGTTTGGAGAGCTCCACCACTCCGGCCCGGCCCTTCCCGATCACTTTGGGGGCGCGACGCAGCAGCTTCTGGGCTTCTGTGAACGCCTCGGTCAGCTCCTTCTTCCACTGCACAAACTCCGGATCGCTCTGCAGGCAGAAGACACGAGAGAGGGGTCAGCTGCTCGTTTTATCTCAAACACCAGGTTTAAGAATTCACTCTCTAATCCCTGAAACCCCAGGGTGGAGTTGAAAGGCATGAGTTATTTTGAAAAATCTCCAAACCCCCACTATTTAACAACCAGAAACTGTAAAAACAGAAAGAATTAGTGTTTTTTTTAAAAAAAAATCTCTTTTCCATTGAAAAAATAAGGACCTGCTGTCTGATTTAAATCATTTACCATTTAGGTTATTAAAACAAGTGAGATTACTTCTGCAACACCAGTTTTCTGACTTGTTCTATATTTAAGGAATGTCTTATTTATTGAGCAGCCATGTGGAACAGTCACTTTGCATTTTACTGCCCATATATGAACGTGTGACAAATACAAACTCTTGAACCTTGAATCACACATTTTCTAGTCATAGTGTACAAATCTGCCTCCCAGAAATGTGATTGTACTGTTGTCTCACTACATTCTGTATGCAAAAATAACCAAATATGCTGCACAGTTTGTCAGATTTTACACACACAAGAGATAAAAAAGGACACATTGAGCAAAGCCAAAGTTTTACTCTTTGAACCCCCAAACTTGTCAATAGGTTTGAAAAGCATGCTTTAAAAAAGAGAGACAAGAGAAAATCAGCTTAAAATTGCAATATTTGATCAAAATCCCTGTTTTTCCACGTTTAATTTATCTCATTTACACGTGTGTTATCAGAGGCCATGTTTTCATATCATTGTGCTTTTTCCATAGAGGAGCAGGACTTTGTATCGAATTGATAAATGAGTGAAGAGAACTGCCTAAAGTTCAGAGGTTGAATAAAAACACAGCGTTTGTACCTCACACTGCAGCACAAACTGTTTCCCTCCTTTGATGCGCAGCAGGATGCACTTCTTGTCTTTTATCTGCGTTTCTTCCACCGTCACAATCTGCTCCATCGTCAGCAGGTTTTGCTGTGAACAGAATTGACCGATCAGAAACGGGCCGAGGTCAGGAAACACATAATGAAGAATCAAGGCTAAGCTCATGAACTGCTGCTACTAAATTTACTTCCAGTCCAGTGACCAGTGGTTTCTGCAGAGCTGTGCAGGTGATGCCTCCCTCAAAGTACTGTGCAGCTACCTGAGGGGGTTTTCATTTAGATCCAGTGGTTATTCAGGGACGTATCATCAACTCTTATCATTTTGGTGCTGAAGGTTTTCCTTGGGGGCTAGCTAAAACTGATTTTGGGGGCACCAAAAATGTGTCTATGCAGAAAACCTTTGTTATGGGAGCCCTTTTGGATATTTTCAGGCACAAAGTTTCAATATGAGATCAATTTATCCAAATAATGCCTATTTGCTAGTAATTTGCTCCCACGTTTTAGGAGTAGTACCCACTGGCCATCTTTGCAGCTAACATATCTCAGGGAGAACAGTCTCAACCTAAAAAGTCTTCCAGTAATTTATTGATGTGTCTGTGGAATTTCAAACAGAACGTAAACACTGGTGTCAGAGCTGAAATCTAACATTTGTTGCTGCCAAGCTGCTCTTTTTGCAGACATTTCCACCTTCATGCTCAGATCAAACCAGAATAAATACAGACGGGTGACAAATTTAAGACAAAAACAACATAAAGCACCTCAGTGAGGTGATGAGCCACCATACTGAGCATTAAAATGTTCTTCAGTGACATCAGGGAGAGTTTGTTCATCTTTATGGACGGTCAGTGACTGTCAACATAAAAACAGCCTGAGCTTAAAGACGTTGGGTGCTGGAAAGAAAAACTAACATTTTACAGCTCTGTACCACTACAGACAGCACGATGTTGAATCTAAAGTACCAAACTAGACACAGAGCAAGCAGTATATGTGTAAAGTCATGCATGAAAACATTGCTCTCCATTACTATCTGTGACACAGGTGAGACAGTTTAAACTTGTTGCTTATTTGCAGGCTCTGAAACGCCAGGTTTGTAATCTCAAAGAAAATGTGTGAGGCTCCTTCAGGAGTAGTTTCATTTCAGTTCTTCACTCCCAATCTCTTTCACAGCTGTTTATTTTAGGCTTAACAACTGATGCTGTTATCCCACGAATGATAAAAGACGACACATCTCGGACATCTCAGATTTTATATTGAATGATCCTTTTTCTAATGCGATACTTGTTCAACAAAATGTGTTATGGAAACCCAGCTAAACAAAACAGACAGCGTGGTCTTAACCCAGCGTGAAGCCAAGCTCCTGCACTTGAACGCCTCTTTGTGTTGTCTGTCTTAACAGCAGCAGTCTGAGGAGGCTGGAAACACTGAGACGCGCTACTAAGTGTGAAGCGGGGAGGTGGACTACAGCTCTATGCAGCTGGGACGCTGAGGACATAGCAGGGACCTGGATCTGGTGTTAACACTCACCCCATCTCTCTGCTTTTTAAAATGTTTTAGCCACTTCTCCTTCAGTGCGGAGTCAGGACAGATAGACAGACAGACAGTTCATACAGACACACATCAGACTGACACATGAATGTTAGAGGTGGAACGGTACACGGATTCATACTGACATGTTGGGTTTATTAAAGTCTGCTGTTTGGGAACATCACAGACAAAGACGGTGGATCAGATGAAGCTACATGCTAGCATTGCTCAACTGTGACCGATTAGCGATCAGCAGCTGGTTGTATGCTGAATTTGGTGACTCATTTGAGACATCACCTGACTAAGCAGCAACAATTCAGACCAAACCAAAGAGAAAACAAACACTGCAGCAGATATAGAACCACACTGTTGCTGGTTTTAAACACATACTGAAAGTAGTCCAGCTCCAGCTACCAAGTTTCCTCTTATCTGATTTCCAACCAGCAAATCCCAGCAGCTCTTTATAACAAACAGCAGCTACAGTCATTCACAACTGATCCAACATCTGCTGTTGCTCTCTGACTGACCAGTGCAGAGCTTCTGACAGTTATTTTATGGATATTATGTCTTTTTAATTAGAGAGACTGTTTATATTGCAGTCTTAGTGTGAAGCTGAAAGCTATTGCATTTTTTAATTATTTAATTTATGAATTGTACTTCTACGTTAACAGGTTGCAGCCAGTCGTAGTCGTACTGACAGACGTTTTAAAGAACAGCCACAGTCTGTTCAGTGAACCAGTGTATATTAAAAAGAAGTTCATGATGTTGTATTTGCTGTACTAAAAACACACTGGTCCCTCATATTTTGTACCGTTACACCCTTAATGACCGTTTGGTAAAAGTGATTTTTTTGGTGTGTGCGCTGTGAGGCTGTCTCACCCGCGACTCGCCCTCCCCCCTCCACTCCACACGGTTGGGGAACAGATAGAAGTATCGGCGTTGCCATTGAGTGAGGAAGGGGTTGCCCAGCTTCAGCATGTAGCCATGCATGATGCAGTCCTTCCCGGAGGCGTAGTCTTAAAGAGAGAGACACACAGTTAGAGAACCTGCAGCCGGATGTCTGTTTGTCTGGTTGAGTTTCGGTGCGGCTGGGATCTTTACCCTCTTCATGGCCCAGCTGCTTGTTTTTAGCCCTCTTGCGAGCCTCGTTCTTGTCCGTGTCTGAGTTGACGGCCTCGTACACCGTCTCTGCCACCTCTTGCTGCCAGCGCTCTGATATGACCAGAGGAAAGTTCTTGTAGAGCTCCTGGTCACTGTCCAGCAGCTGCAGGAAGAGGGAGCAGGATGTTTAGTAATGACACTTAAACTTTTTGGCTAATGAGCTCTGGGTTCCTCAGTGAGAGAGCACGATGGTTACAAATAGGCTGTTTCCTCTGGAGTTTGAATATCCTGCTCCGACTCGAGTGTTTACATACAGATATGAGATCAAACTTTTCATCAAGAGAACAAAAATGAGCATTTAACAAAATGTCCAAGCATTCCTTTTAAAAGAATTTCTTTTAGAACACATCAGTGTTGGTAACATCTGTGTACATTTAAAAAAAAATCTACAGGGGTGCAGGACTTTTACATTGTAATAAAAAAATGTGACAAGAAAAAAAAAAAAACACCCAGAAACTACTTGTTGTTCAGAGGGTTAAAGCCTAACACATGATAAATGTGTATGCTTTTACATATCAGCTCCTAAATCTGCCTGAATTCGGCATTTTCTTGTAGTTTTACAAAAAAATAAACAAATAAATAAACATGAGGCTTTATACCTCATTTAGTCTCACTTTTCAGTTTATTAGATACAAACCTGTGCAGTCTAATACAACAGCTCTGCAATAAATCTCGAAGATTATAATGTTCAGGTTTTGCTCAGAGAGAGGTTGATACAACTTTATGGTCATTTTGGAGGCTGCAGTTTGTGTGTGATGGAGTTTCTAATGTTTCATCCTCCCCATTTATATGAATAAGGCTGAATATTAAACCCAGCTCTCAGTAATACAACACCCGCCACTGAGAGTAGATGCTGCAGTAATATTTACAATCTCTTTACATCTTGTGTATTTGTGCCAGTTGGATTTATGTCGGGGGAGCAGAGCTATACACGCCAACATTTACTATACGGCAGTTATTTCCATTATTACTCCTGTGTTAATGGCGAGCACCATCTGGGGAAATGTAAACTAACGCTGCTGTCTTTTATTTCTCGGCGCCGGAGCACCAGAGGACAAATAAATGCTACCTGCAGCCACATTAACGTTAATGAAGGAGGAAGCTGCAGCACTCAAGACAATCACAAGCAGAAAACTGGCCGTGGAAGGAAAATTTAGATCCTTCACTGAAGCCAAGCGGCATCATAGTCTGAAAGTATTAGTAACAAAAAAACTAAGTGCTCATTATGCAGAACGGTCCTTGTCAGAATCATATAGGATTTGGATTATTGATTCAACAACATTTAAATCACCAAAATGCTTCAGCTATTGAGTAAGTCGTAGCTTCATCTAAATCAAGGGTTGACAGATTACTCGTCTGAGCAATTATTGGCTCCCGTATTCAACTTTCTTCTCATTATTGGTACCACTGTTTAAAGAAATTCCCCAAAACTAAATTAATTTATTTTCTGCTGCCTCTGTCTGTGGTGTCCTGCCCACGGCACTATCTGATTGGTTACAGGTAACAGCCAATCAATACTTATGGTTAATGTTGAAAAGTTTCTTTTAGTTAAACAAGTAAAAATAAATAGGTTTTGAGTTGGAGCTTTTATTATCTTAAACCTTCCCGTACACTCCAGAACATAAAAACAGCTACAAACACTCTAACATTCTGTCATTTCATTGTTTGCATGGCCTTAAAACTGTGGATGCTGTGGACCAAACGCTTCATTAAACATGTCTACAGAAATAAACAGAGTTTTTAAAAAGCTGCACTTTAGAAGGCATTTGACAAATCTGTTTAAGTGGCCTAAGACGCCCTTTGGATGAGAGACCCATCGCAGAGGAAATAGTTTGTTTTGCAACATATCCATATTATTGTTGACAAGGTGCTACAATGTGAGCAAACAGCAGCCTCCCTCTCTCTGAGCCAAAGCCCAATGTTGTACACCAGCAAGGTAAAAGTGGGACAGATGGCATCTGGTAGAACCAGCGTGGTTTGTCAGTATTTTCATCGTGAAAAATGGAAACAAGGTTGTTTGTCGGCTGAGTCAGAACAAACTGGCAGATAATCACTGGACCAGAGCGATGAGTAACCGCAGTCAGCATCCCAGACATGTGGACGTTCTGTTCGCAAGTTGTCGTCATGTTTAGTAGACTCATAGGCAACATTCCCACTAAAGCTGCAGCAAATAACAGAGTAGTTGTTGACTTTTACATTAATTACCAACTATTTTGATGGTTAGTTAACTGTTGTTGTTTTTTTTTTTTTAAGAAAATAATCCTCTGATTGTTGATCCTTAATGTGAATGTTTTCTGGTTTCTTTTCTCCTCTATGACAGTGAACTGAGTATCTTTAGTTGTGGACAAAACAAGGCATTTGTCAATTGAGCTTTGTGAAACATTGATGGACAATTTTCACCTATTTCAGAAATTTTGTGAAATATGGTCATCTTCTAAAACTAATTCATTAACAAAGAAAATATGAAACAATTCATTAGACAATGAAAAGAATCTATTTTCAGATTCATATTCACTGCCACATACCTCAGCCGCCTACCTGATTATTAAAGTTTGTAAATGACAGTTCCAAATAGCTCTTAAATATTCTTTCAGGCAATTTTTAACCTTTTTGAATAACTTCGGCTCAATTTTGACTGACTTATTTTTAGATGGGTCTAAATTCAAACAGGGAAATTAGTTATTAGGAGCATCACCAGTTACCAGGGACTGACAGAGATGAAGTCCTGATGTTTACAGGGACGTTGGTGCTATTCATACATCAGGGACTAATTTCTTTAACCTTGGAAATATCACGATGAACTGGAGAAGCTTTTACTGCTGGCAAAGTTCTTGGTCAGTTAGTTTGAGGGAAATTGGACATACTTGAGAATAAAAATCTACAAGAATTGCAAATGAAATTGAAAAACTTTAGATACAATATAAAGCATTTGTTGTGAGGGAACTGAATTCATGGCATTGTCAAGATCTGCAGATGTACGAGTCACTTACACTGAAACACACATGTTTAGGTTATGAATACGTTGAGGCATCTCCTATTGGACAGTAAACACCTATTTAGAATGACGGATGCTCAGACGGCTCCTTTAGTTAAAGATAAGAGGCTACCAAATGCAGCATGTGAATGTGCGAGAGTTTGTTTTACCTTGATGCCCTTGGTGTCCTCCTCATCAAAGGAGCCAATGTCGAAAGCATCTGCAGCGTTCACCTCTCCCCTGGGAGGGATTAAAGGAGGAGAGTACTGGAGGAGGGAGAACAGAGAAGGTGTTCAGAGAGGTACAGTGATGGAAGAAATGAGGAACAAGTGGCAGAAACAGAGTGTGAGCGAAACAACAAGGTGACGGTCCCGTAGCTGTGTTTCCCTCAAGTGATGGGGTAACCATGGCAACAGTAACTGCAGTGGACTAATGACTAATGTGGCTCCATCCAGTGCAGCTTTAAACAGAGAGCCAGGACTTGACCTGATCCGAGAGCCACAAATAAGCGGATAAAAGATCTTAATGTTGCTTTTAACTGGAAACACATTTTCAAACAAAAAGCTTACAGATCTACCATCGTAATGTCTATATTGTCTCTTTATAGGATTTATCGTCAGTTAGCATCAGTGATTGAAACCAGTTCAATTAGAGCTGCCAATATTTTTTTACTGTGCCTGTGGATGTTGCATACAGCTCATAATGTTACTCTGAAGACAAGAACAAGGACTAAATAATTGATGCTGCTTCCAGAATGATCTCAAGATTCCAGTGAGTTTATTTTCACTGATTGGAAACCAGTGGGAGCGGCTGCCCACAACTGAATGACACAAACATCCTGGAAGCTACAGAATGGACTGAATGCACTCAGCTTAAATCACTCAAGTACTTGTAGTGTGGAAAAAATTAAATATCTGACGTGTTACAAGCCACTGGGGGGAGGGGCACGTTTATAAAATGAACTGTCATTCTGTCAACCTGTTGCTGTCAGTGAACGGTGAAGCAGCATGTGTGGGTGCTTGATTGCTGCCTTTTTAAGAAGCAACAGTGGTTTTGGTTATGTTTTAACCCTCAATTGTTCTTCAAATGTGAGTTATTCTTGTGAAGTAGCAGCCTTAGTGCACATGACTTGTATGTAGAGACAGTTTCTGACCCAGTAAATTTGAATATGCAACACAAGTGCAGCAAAAATCATTCAGATTGAGTAAGAAGTGCAGCAACATCAGGAAAACCACTGATACAACGGAATCAATCTTTGGATTATGGACAAAACAAGACATTTGTCATCTTGAGTTTTGGGAAACACTGATCAACATTTGTCATATTATTCTGACCAAGCAATTTAACATAATCTAATAAAGGTACTTAATAAAGACATGGTGCCAAACATCCATCCATTATCTATACATCGCTTGATCCTCACTAGGGTCGCGGGGGGGCTGGAGCCTATCCCAGCCGACTTAGGGCGAAGGCAGGGGACACCCTGGACAGGTCGCCAGTCTATCGCAGGGCCACACTTAGAGACAGACAACCAAGCACACTCACATTCACACCTACGGACAATTTAGAATCACCAATTAACCTCAACATGCTTTTGGACTGTGTGGGAGGAAGCCGGAGAACCCGGAGAGAACCCACGCTGCACGGGGAGAACATGTAGACTCCACGCAGAAAGATTCCGGTGCCCCCACCGGGACGCGAACCGGCAACCTTCTTGCTGCGAGGCAACAGTGCTACTAACTGCGCCACCTTGCAGCCAAACATGATTTTTTTTTTTTTTTTTTTTTTTTTAAATGAAATGGTATTAACATTAAAAAGCATGATAGTGTAAAACTTTAACACTGTTATGACTAGACCAGCTACTTCACAAACATTTTGCTTGTAGCTTCTTACAAAAATGTCAGGGTCTGGGACCTTCTTTCACACTTTGAATATCTATAATTTGTTAGCAGGTCTCCCCAACATATGCTTCTTCTCAATCAAGCTCCAAGCAGGTTAAATTATCGAATGTTTAACAACAAAACTAATTCCCAAAATGAATACATATATATGTGGATCTACTTTTCTCTCCCATTAATCATCTCAGGACCCCTAAAGTTTATCTGGTGACCCTCTGGAGGGACCCAACCCTCAGGTTGACTGTATATAAATCAGCAAAAGGCTGTTTATACAATCATGCAACAGTTTAAACAATCTAAAAATTTTAAATGTAATAACTGTATCAGTCACAGGGAGATGTTACTGCAGAAAGAGTTTAGTTTTAATAGTAATACTTCTGTACTGAGAACTTCTGAGGACAGCACTTTGTTTGTGCTTATACTAAAGAAAATTACTTAAATACCATTTTTCTTCAACCACTGATCATGTTGGTTATACATATATATCAGTTTAACATTTCCCTTTAATGATTCTTCTCACTTTGTGACATTTTATAGACCAAACAGTTTATCGAGAAAACAATCCAAAAAATACTTTTCTTCAAGTCACTGATTTTTTAAAGTACATCAAGACATGCTTTTTAGAAAACACAGATTTTTTTGTGATAAAATTTTGCGTTCAATTACAATCAAAGACAACACCAACAACAGTTAATAATGCACAAAGTCTTGTAAAGATCAATTCTGCTGCATCATATGCATCAAACCAGATCGATCATTTTGCAAATTAGTGAAAAAACCTTAAAAACAAACCACCCGCCTTCTGGCGTCAGACCACAATAACCCGCTCCTAAAACAACAAAGAACAAAAGGGGATTGATGAAGGAATAAAGCTGGCTCACCTTCTGCAGGTACACCTGCTGCCAGTCGATGCCTTTGAAAAACTGATGCTCCTTCACCTCTGGGGCTCTGCATGTGTGACAGACAGACACAAAGACTCAGAGGGACCATCTCTTACTAACTATACAATTGAGCACTAGGTGGCAGTGTTGGCCGCAGTACTCCACACTCATCATCATACTATTTAGTCTGCACAGACAGTGATCCATCACTCTGCTTTAGTCATACGCTGATGCAAAACGACAGCGCTGATGAAATTACTTATGAACTCGGCTTCTATCGGATCACTTGATGTCGGCCTCTATTCGCCTCCACTGGGCCGCAAACTACACCACCCAGCGTTTCCAGCCTTAATGAGCAAGTCTAGCTAAGCTCATCTGACTGATGAATTCATTTGCACGCCTGTGGACATGAGATGGGGGTTAATGTGAAGTTCTGTTTGTACGTCGTACCCTCGGCCCTGGCAGCCCAGCCGCTTGGAGACGTCTCTCTGCAGCAGCCCCTCCAGGAGATCTTTGAGCTCTGCAGTGAAAGAGTCTGGCAGCTCCACATTCTGCCGGGAGAAGAGGGAGGAGGGGGAGTCAGAGTGACAACGGGGGTTTGAAAATTAATCATTCACACCTTTTACGACAGTACAGATACCCCTCCCCAGACAAAACTAACACCATACGTCTACATCCTCACTGTTTAGACAGCAGCCCAGCACTAATAGCTCAGTGTGTATGGCTGTAATGGACAGCATGTCATTGGAGCGCTCTGATGCTCACTAATGTCAGTAAATATTAATAATGCAACATGAAACAGGTTCATTTTTATAGATTTTTACTTCTATTACTCATTATCTTACTTAATCTGAGTGACAGTTCCAATAATTAGGTTTGGTGGATGTAAACAGATGTTGCTTGAGAGGAAGCCGATATTTAGTCGCACTTTAGTAAAGAAGAAACCTTACAACAATTAAAGTACGCCGAATTAGCCATAAGCTCTTTCCATTTGCAGCACTACCATGCATGTACAGGTAGGTATTATAGGGTCACTGTAATACTGAAGAAAATCTTAAAACAAGACTATTCTTAAGCAACTTCTGCAGTCATAGGAAGCATGTTTTTACCAGGACTTCTAAGTAGACCTGAGGCTGCTCATTTGTGGTGGACGTTGAAGATCATGATCTTTCTTTCTTTTTTTTTAGGGTTTAAAAAAGTAGATCTTTTCAAATAGCGAGGCAAAAATAAACATCACTTTAAAACAATCCATTCTTTAACATGGACACTCAACACAATAAAAGTGAGACATTTATGGATGGAAAATGGGGGATGTCTGATCCAACAACAAAATCACCATTTTGAAAATGGATCCAACATCATCTACACCTTTTACTATAAAACCTTTCAGACACTGTGCCCAGTCCTTACAGAGACCTTGTCCGTCCTTTAACAATTTAAGGAGTTAACACAGGACTAATGCATGTCTGTGTGTGGATTGAATAAGTTGCATGTCAATGGAACATTCTGTAAACATATGCTATTTGTTCACATTTCCAGAAATCAGCAACAAAAAAAGCTTTCGTCTGACTGATTGGCTGTTGATTTTTAGGCAGGTTCTGCAGTTATTTCTAGGATTTCTAGCAGTTCATTTGTGATGGATGTACAATATATACCTTTCAAGCAGTTTTCAGTCACACATACAACCAAAAATCTTTAAGGTGCAACTGAACAGGTGCTACTAACATTTAGCAGGCCTGTCTGTGTGTCTCTGGGCAGCCCAACAGGCAGATAAAATCACATGGTTTTAGGTAAATCTGACATTAGAACGTCTTATTTCACTCTTTTTAAACACATTTTTGGTCTCACAGCTGTGTTAGCTCTCAATGCTGTGCTGCAGTAACTGAGCGGAGACTAGAGGCTTCTCCATGCACAGCTGACTAGCAGCATCTACTGAGGCATGTCAGGCGTTGATGGACATCAGCAAATTGGAGTGCACAGCGATAGTCTACATGTGAGGGATTTAGAGAACATCGACAAATGACATTGGTTACGCTGGGTTACACTGTCTACCTCTAAACTGCATGAGTCTCTGCACACATGTCGATTATACCACCACCCACCACCATAATGTCTCAACCTGTGAGTAACACTGAGACATAATTATTGGACAGAGTGTAACCAAAAGCATGGCTGCAATGTTCCAACAGTTTGCAGTGTCAGAGAGTCAGAAATGATTCTAAAACATAGCACTGCTCATAATATAGCAACAAAGAGCTCCTATTTTAACTTCAACTCCCAGATCATCCTGATGAAAACGAACCAAACGATGATTTTTTTATAGCTCAAAAATACTCAAACAATATGTTTTTGAAAGTAAAAAAGTTTGAATTCACCTAAATAAAAAAGTTAAAGACAGCAGTGCAACTAAGGTAAAAAGTTGTTCTAGAGCTCTGGGTCGTGTTGAAAAATGGGACAAATCAGCAGCCAAACTAACTTCCAGGTGCTTTTGTCCTTTTCACCTCATGCAGTATCTTTAACTTGGACCCCCCCCCTCTCGGGAGGTGTGACAACCTCTGCTACAGCACAAGTCAGCCTTCGTCCCTTTTCTCTTTTTTTTTTTCAGTGACGGGCTTTGCTCAGCTGCTTCGTGGATGTTTCAAGCGAACAGAAGTGCCATCTATCGGGATCTGTTCCATCCATCTCCTGCTGCCTCTGCTGCTCAGCCTTCTCTCTGCTGTCTGCTTCCATCGTGTTTATGTAATGAAACCATTCATCACCTTTAATAAACACTAAGACATATAGAGCAGTATTTTTAGCCTGTTCGGGGCTGAATCGCAGCCTTTCCCCCTCTCTCTGGCTCTCCAACGTATGCGCGCACACACACACACGTGCACACGTGCACACGCACGCACACACACACACACACACACACACACACACACACACACACACACACACACACACACACACACACACACAAGGATTAAGGGGATAAACCAGATTAAGTGGCTGGATTAAAATCCTAATCTGGATTTATTGTGATATGAAAGATCATACTTTCTCTGTTTAGAGGTCCTGCTCAGGCAAACAGGGCCTGTGCGTGTGAGGGAGAGGGGCAGCTAACCTTTTCAACATCTTCACGTCCCGACAAAACACAGAGATTTGGACGGGTTCCATCGTGATGGACAAACGGCTGCTGCTGGCAGACAGGAGATGAGCAGAGCGGCACTGAAAACTCACTTTACAACTGCTCATACACAACATGTCGCCTTTGCAGAACTCTGGCTTGGTCTTGAGGAGGAGAAAGAGGTGGGTGGGAGCAGATATGTCGCTGGGTGGGCTCAATGGGCACCATTCATGCCAAATTCATTGCTGAATCTGGCTCAGCAGCATATTCCTCCAACAGACACTAACACAATAAATGTACTGCAGAGTTGTTTTACTGTCAGACTGTCTGAGAATCAAACCTTGTAACGGTCATTCACTGAAAAAAGTTCTCACCTGACCTCCTCAGGATCAGATGATTTTACATGTGCTGTAACTTTAGTATATTTAATGACTCCATGCAAAATTTTACCTTTAAACTACAAATGTTCTCAGGCCCTTGAAGTACATATGAGGTGGGTCAAAAATTCATGCTTTTGAATTTGTGTAGTTTTTTTTCAGAATTTTTGAGCCTCATAAATTTAAAAGTACAGGAGAAAGACACTTTAAATTTTAGGAGATGAAAAACACTTTTGAAAACTGCAACCAAATCAACTTTATATCCACTCCAGGTGTCACAATTTAAGACAAAATAAGTTTTCTGATCATCAGTATCAGGATGTCTTATCTGTTTTCTGATAATTCACTGGAGAAAACTTTAGAAAGTGCATTTTGGGTAAGCCTTCAAGGGACATATCACCATGTGAGATAACTGGTTGGTCAAAACAAGTGATAGCAAATGAAAGATCTCCTTTGTACCTACATTTTGATACCAGGCTCATCTTCTTGCCATGATTCCTCCTGTGTCAGTTTTTTAATACAGACGGGCACCAATTGACTTTTCATGAAATGACCCATTTCTGTCGTTGTAAGGACCCAAATGTGTCCGTACCATTCAGTAGAAATTGTTTAATTCCAAAGAGCAACTTGCAGGCTGACTTTCTCACAGCATTTATAGTTTATATTTTTCTGATAAAAAGAATGCTTAATTTTATGTTTAATGAGACCTAAAAGGCAGAAACTCAGATGAAAAGCCGTAATTTTTTTTAGCAGCATTCCTAAAATTGTGGAATAGTAGGTGATATTGAGTCTGAGCAGTTGTGACATAGACAGTTGATCTGTTTTCTGAATTACTTGTTGAACTGTTTGTGCATGTTTGACAAACTCCAGCCTGTTAGGACATTAGGTTTACAGCTGCCATCAACAACTATTTTACAGATGAATCTAAATGATTAGTTTTCCTCCAAAAGAGCAATGAACATTTCATTTCCGATAATGTTATTCTGACAAACTGTATATGATTGTACGATGCAACACAGTACGAAATGGAAACAAAGGTTTACATGAAGCAAGAAAAAAAAATCTGCTGACTCTGAGGGGGTGAGGTGGAGGCACTGACTATGTTTTTAAGGTACTGATCCAGCAAGACAGCTGAAAAAACCTGCACACATTGTACAGTTGTACTCTACAAGTCAATTATGCAAATCACAAACACAGAGCTGCAGGTTAATTTGCAAAAACTAACCGCACACAATCACTACTTTTCCCAAATTCGATCATCTTCTGCCCGATCTGACTTCACTGCAGGATCTCAGCTGTTACTGTGGTGCTCATAGAGAAAATGTAGGCCAAGACTACAAATATAAGACACAAGAGAGCTCTAAAGCTGTAAACCTGCGCTCCATGTGGCTACAAATCCATTCGACCCAGGCGGCGCACTGTTAACTTTCCAGCTTGGCTGCAGTTTATCTGCACCAGGTTTCTGTCATATGCTTCATCTCCCCGTATCTTCCCATGACACAGCAAAGTAAACAGACAGCTGAGTGTTGGATGGCAGCAGGCAGAGACACTAAAAGATGACCTAAAAACTTAAACAACAAAGACATTCATCTCTGTCGAGGATGTGCGGGGAAAACCTGGCACCAGAACCTCTGTTGAGGCTGTTTGTCCACACACAGGACCGTATGCACAGGATACGAACATGTGTGTGCATTTGGAATTACAGTATGGTAAACACGAACCAAACCCATGTGTTGAGAGTTAAGTAAAGGCTCATGTTGCCGACGTGCTTTGCAGCGTGTTTGCACAGGGATGCCTCATAATGTGTGTATGTGCTGTCGTGTGCATGTAGCGTGAACGTGTCTTACCATGGTGAGCGTCATGCGGTCAATCTCATGTTTGTCTTTGGTCTTGTGCTGTCTGAAGGGACTGTGCCTAAACAGGAGGCAAGAGAGACAGATACCGAAGATTAATGGAAAGACAAGGATGGTGAAGAAATGGGAGGAACAAGGATGTGAGCAAAGAACAAGGAAAACTCAGCACACACTCTGGAGATCACACCTTTCTAACCTCCTCATACATCCACAGTCCTGGTTGAGCCAAAGCTGTGTCTCTACAGGGCAGAGACGACATAAAAAGAGAGACTGAAAGGAACATTAGTGCATGTTGAGTCCAGGTTTTTCAGTTTTTGTAAAAGAAAGTGATTTTTTCCCCTTTTTTTATGATTCATAGCATTCTAACTGTCATTCAGCACAGAAGACACCGAGTTCTTTTTTTTTTTTTTACTTTTAGTCACGGTTGTACTGCTTCCATAGAGGTGCAGGACTTCATATTTCAGTAATAAGTGAGTCCAAAGTGAGGAAAAATGTGACAGGAGCAGAAAGAAATGCCCAGAAACTGCTCAGAGTTCAGAGGGTTAATTTGGATTGCTTTTCGGTTCATTAAATTCGACAATATTTCCGTTAGCCATCAACTGGCTCAGCGGGATGATAATATTTTGCTGCCATACTTTATTGGCAGCGTTCTCTCTTTCAGTAAATAGAGGTTTCATCCAAATTGGACATGAAAGAAGGAAAGGGCCAGAAATACGAAGACTTAAATGGAGGATCGACGGACTATCAGCATTTTCATTACATTATGTAATTTCACAGTAGCTTCACTGTATATTACATGTTAAAATGGATGCACATGTTGCTCATGCACAGTTTAAATACTGATATACAAGATTCTAATTAAATTCATTTGGTCCTTTTTGCCGCTGCTTGTACTTCAGCTTCAATTAAGGACAATAAAGAATGTTTTTCAGTGTTTCACAGAGCTCCAGTGAAGCCGTTTGGGACCAAATCGTTCCTCCGACTGCCAGGAAGCGATCCCAGCAGCAGAGCAGCTAAATTGGACATATTTTCACGGGAGCCTAAAGAAGTTATGCTGGAAACATTTCCACAGACAAGCTCATTTTGATCTTTTGAAAGAGCAGGCAGCCCTCCTCCAGTGAGCAACCCTTCAGAAGCTCATATATCAAGCAAGTATATTTTCAAGACAGAGCAACATCTCTATCCGACATCCAAAACTGAGCGGAAGTGATCAAACGACAGACCACATCTTTAATGGTCCAATAGCTCAGTCTGGGCCAAATGACATCAAAATACACTGCTGAAGGCTGCAGGGGTGTTAATCAATAACTATGTTGGGAAAAGGTGCTGCTTGGACTACAGTGGAGCTTGAATTTATTCTGCAGAAACTCTCTTGACAAAGGTTTCATTTCCAGCAGAACAACAGTTACTCTAAAGGTGCACTGAAGCTCCAACAACCTCGTCATTATATTGAAACAAAACTCAAAAAAGCCTGAAAGGAATCATGCAACTTTAGGAAACCACTTATCTGCTTCTTTTCTAGGAGTGAGATAAATCATCTTCATGTCTGTTAATATTTTAATATTAGCAATGATCAAATGTCGATGCTGAATGTATGAAATGTCCCTCGCAGTGATAAAAACCACAGAACTTTTCACTACAGGATCAGCTCTATGGTGCATTTTAGGTTCTTTCATCTCACTGTTTAGCAGAACATTACCTATAGCATTTCTCTCTCAGCCCTTGAACTCAAATCATTCTTCAAACCCCTACCAAAAAATCTGCATTTAGATTATTAAATTAATAACAAATGCGCAACGAGTCTAGTGGAGAACTCTCTGGTTGGGAGCAGCCCAACTGATTGATGCATTCCATTTTATTTAGTTAACCGAAACATAAACAGAAATATAAAAACAGTTCTTGACATATTGGTAGATGTGTGAACTTTAGATGGAGCCAAGATAGCTATTTGAACCTGTCTCCAGTCTTATGCTAAACTAGGCTAACCATGTCCTGGCTCCAGTGGTGGCATCAATATACGTACATTTGTATTTGCAAAAATGATGAACTATTCCTCTAAAAAGCTGAAAAAGCACCATTTAACCCATGAAGACTTGATGCAACATGTTTTTAGGAAAACGTCAGTCTTAGTGGACTGAGACAAACCTCAATATTGCACCAAAATCCACTAGAGTTGCTGCATCTAAAGTCAGTGTGAACTAAAACCTTAATTTGATTGAGAAAAAAATGATCTCGTAGAGTTTCTAACAAAATTCTTTCTAACTGAAATGTGCTTTCATAAAAAGGTTTTACTTCCAAGACTGAGAATTTTAGATTTGAGTGTTGAAACATGCAGCCAACCTTTCACTAAAGAGCAACACACTCTTCCTCTTTAAAGTGTTCAAACACACTGATCCAAACATCAATGAAAGGACACGTCACGCTCGCTCTTCTCTCTTTCTCTGCTCGCTCTGGCCGAACGCACACGCACACACACACACCTGATTTCTGACCTACTGGGCCCAGACCTCTGGCATTTACACATTCCAGATCAAACACACGCACGTACGCATGCACACACACACACTGGCCTGCACACACAAACAAGATCAAACACACACCAAACAGAAGGCGAGCAAGCAGATTCAAAGAGGTTTACTCAGAGTGGCAGAAGAGTTTTGAAAGCAGACGTGAAGTCAGGACACGGCAGCAGCGAGGAGCTGAGGAGGGGAAGAAGGGAAAAGATGAGAGGCTGGAGTAGTTACCCTCGGAGGAGTTTGAAGAGCATGCAGCCTAAGGAGAACCAGTCGGCGCTGCTGTCGTACGCCGTCCCCTTCTGAAGGACCTCTGGAGCCATGTAGCCATGAGTGCCGCTGCGACAAACACATCACAGCGTCACGTCAAACACACACTTGGCTGCGCTCCACAATTACAGCTACAGCAACAGGCTGCAAGAAACCCTGTGACCCTCATCACTGATGGGTTTATTATCCTTCTAAAAATCTATGTATTTCCTGGTAATTGTTTATCTGTACATACTATTTAGGCTGCTTTTACTGTAGAATAATGGCAGCTATCTGCAACGTGACGCTCACGACACAGCAAATCAGTTCAGTTCAGGGTTGAAGTCTGATACCTCTTTAATTCGACTCCACTTATCACATTCATTCGAATCCCCTACCAAAGACAGTCAAGTTGAGCATTTATCATTTGCAAGTAAGTAAGCAATGCCTGAAAAATAAAATGTAGAAAAACCATATCTGAAAAGTGTAAATAAAATATATAACAATGTATGTAAAACATCAATAAAATGCATGAAAATGTCTGAAAAAATTTACAAAACATGCCTGAAAAATGAAATGTCAAGAAATTTTCTGAACAGCATAAACGCAATATATGAAAAAAAAAAAACTAATAAAAGCAAACTGCATACAAATATTATTTAATAAAATATACAAAATGTCTTCAGGACATGAATAAAATGTACATAAAATTCTAAAAAACACTGACAAAATGTAAGGAACATAGCTGAAAAAAACCTTAAAAGAACAACAACAACAACAACAACAAAAAAACAGCTGTTTTTTTGTTGTTGTTGTTTTTTTAGGTTTGTCACACATTTTGTACAATATATTAGTTTTTCAGCAGTGTTAGAAAAAAATATAGAGATGTGTGAAAATGATCAAATGTTTAAAAACATAAAATGTACTAAATTGGACAACTACAGAAAATATAGAAAAAAAGTCAAAATGTACAAAAAAATGTCTGAAAAACAAATAAAATGTACAGAAAATCAAACCTATAAAAAGTGTATAAATATCTATATAAAAATGACTAAAAATGTTAATAAAATGTATAAAAAATGTCTACAAACTAATAAAATTGTAAAGAAAAACACAGTTCTGTCTTGGGCAGACTTTAGTCAGTGGCTTGGAAGACGTACATTAATGTGCAGACTTTAGTTTGATCAGACGCGTTACACAATTAATATTAATTAGCTGCAGCTGCTGAGACTCAGAGACTAAACAAGTGTGAAAGCTCTTTAAATGTATCAGCAATCAGCACAGGTAATATTTACTTACTTTACTTCTAGAGAAGTAAACCCAACACAAACAGAGATTAGCACAGATAGGTGCACTTACACGCTGGCGTGGGGCTTCTTCTTGGAGAAATCACAGGCCAGGCCGAGGTCGGAGATACGAACATGACCGTGTTCATCCAACAGGATATTAGCTGGCTGAAGGAGGACACACATGGGCAGAGAGTGATAAAGAGGGTGATACTGATGGAGAATGCAGAGGATAAGATCATAAGCATAGGAAACAATGCTGGAGACCTTACTAATTCACGACTTAAGCTACAATTTCCGCTCGGCAGAAGGAGATTGTGAAGCAAAAGAAACGCTCCTGTCCTGGTTATCCTCCGCTGTTTGGCAAAACCGTGACGCACTCTTCTCCTTCGACGATCAGACTCATAGTATTATTTGCATTTTGCTGCACTGTTTATTGAAGCCCTAAAACTGTTCCCTGAGTTGTAGCAAAATATATCTATTATTATGGCAACCAGTCTAAACAGGGGAATTGGAGGAAAAACAGAGGACATGGCTGATGTGAATCTGTGGCTTCTGAGGACACGTGCTGGTGGATCAGTGCAACTCCAAACATCAAACATTCAGAAAATGGCAACATGGCATGAAACAGCACCTTTTAAAGCACAAGCACAATTAGGGATCATTTACTTTTTGATTAATGGATCACCAAAAAAAAACTCAGATTTCTGATGATATTCTAATTTCTCAAGAGAAACAGTAAGATTAACAGTAAGATTACTGTCAACAAATCCCACAAAGACTCAAGGCCAACCATATGCTTCAGTATGTTCTGTCTGTGTCCCTCACCTCCGAGCGCAATGATTCCTACTGATGATGTAAATCTGCACGCAACAGATCAGAGGTGGGTGAATCACATCAGATTCGTTGTACATATGGCTGTCTGGACACAAAGCCACTTCAAGTCAAGGCTGAAGGACCAACTCACAAATCTATGAATAATGTTTTTCTCTAAGTTCCGGCCAAAAGTAGTGATTTATATCTCTGTCACTTGGATTTTTTTCTTTTGAAAGCTCAGTTTTGCTAACCAGCTAACCCTGTTAAGTTTCATGGATCCCACCTGCAGGCTGCCAGGTCACTGACATTCTTCAGTGTCATTCAGACTAACTCCAACTCCATTCAGCTCATCATGGATGGACTTTATGGTTTCCTTGTTCTGCTCTGCAGCCTTGGTGAGCTTGGTGCAGCAACACAAGAACCAGTTCTCCATCTGTTGCAGGTTTTGGTGTGATCGGACCTCCAGCTCTGAGCAGAACGAGGACAACTGTCACCAACTGCAGTCCAAGACGGTGGAGTTGGAGTCCATTGGCAGCTCAGTGAGAACCACCTGGCTAACCTGGAGGTAGGGAACAGGAGACAAGACAGGACGGGGCTAGCTTGTTAGCAGCGACTGATCTTCCTCCATCCGTGGACGCTTTTCCAGAGTAAGGTCTCGGCAGCAGGAGGCTTAAGAAAAGCCTCCGGACATCCGTCTCCCAAACAACATTCTCCTGTTCCAGTGGTTATCTCATGTGGCGCTCCCAGGCCACATGAGATATGTAATCCGGGTCTCTACCAGTTGTAAGGAAAACCTCCAAAGTCAGGCACCCAGGAGGAGGCATCCTACTGATGCTTAACAACCTCAGCTACTTCCTTTTAAAGGAGCAGCGACTCTCTGGATGTCCAAACTCCAACTCCTATCTCTAAGGCTGAGCCCAGCCACCACACAGAGGAAACTCATTTCAGTCGCTTGTATCTCGTTCCTTCGGTCACTACCCACAGCTCATGGTCCGTAGGTGAAAGTTAGACCACAAATTAAGAGCTTCGCCTTTCTCATCACTCATAAACAAGATCCAGAGATCCTTGAACTCCTTCACTTGGGGCAGCAACTCACCTTCAACCAGTAACTGAACTCTCAGAATCAATGTCACAAATGTAGAACTGTAAATATCAAATCATCAGATCACCCGGCTCTATCACAGATACGTGGTTTCCTGGAGCCCAGCTGAAGGGGAACAGAGTGTAGTCCTGAAACAACATGGCTGAGGAAATCGGGTTAGTGTCCTCTTTAAGTCTCTGTTGAAAGCATCAGTTATCAGAAAGTCTTTCCGTGAGGAAAAACACATTTGAGCAACAAAATTAGTTTTACAGCTACTTAAGTGTCACAATCTAAAGTCAAAATTTGTCTCAACAGCTTTAAGCATCAATATCCTAGTTGAAGTTTCAGCAGCAAAACTGCAGTAGTTGAATATCTATGACAGAGTCACAGAAACAAGCATCCGTACCCTGGATGCGTAATTCATTTCTTCATAATTCACTAGAGAGAATTCCAAAAAGCGCAACTTAGGTAAACTTTCAAGGTTCACATCACCATGTAGATACCAGGCCTTAATTTCACCACATTTTGATATCAGGTTCATCTTCTAGCCTTCTGCTTCTGTGTCAAAACAATTTTCTAAGACAGTCATATTTTAGAACTGGTGAATGTAGCTTCTGGCTGTTAAATGGAGAACCATGTTCTATATAATGATTTGGACAAATCAAATTGATCAAACCAGTTTGTTTGAGAGTCTTTCAGATTCTCCTCTGATAGTGTTCAGTCTGTTCTGCTGGTCTGTTAACGTCCTCTGACATGGTGACGATGTGTAATCTTGGTATCCAACAAAACTTGGTAGATAAAATTTAGCATGGCCTCATAAAATATACTAAAGTTATTGTTCATAAAAATCAGCTGATTCTGAGGAGGTCAGTTGGGAACTTTTTTTTTCAGAATTTACATGAAACCACCAAAGAAACAGACACAGTCTGGCTCCACTAAGAAATGGAAAGTAAGGGCAAAAAACAGAGGTCCAGTAATTATTTCTAAAGCTGTACCTCTGCTCTGTTAGCAGGACACATCATTAACAGCGTGTGTTGGCCTCTTTGTGGGATTTGTCGACAGTATGATTAATTAAATGCTGCAGGAGTGTTTCTCAGTCAGGAGGAGGTCGACCCACCTTGAGGTCTCTGTAGACAACGAAGCGGTTGTGCATGTGCTCGAGACCCAGGATGATTTCCGCCGCATAGAAACGCATCTCCTTCTCACTGAAGACGCCGTGTTGAGACAGATGGTAGTGCAGGTCGCCTCCTGAACACACAGACACACAACGCTGAGTGCATGACCTCATTGCATCTCAGTCTCAATCAATACCCATCGACACGTTGTGGTAACATTGCCGGGGGAGAAAATGAGAATCAATGGGAGGCCTTCTATCACTTATTCCTGCGCCCCAATTGTCTCAGCCCTCACATGTATTGACCACTCGTATTTATAGCAGCGCTCAGGCCGAAGCCCAGTACTGCACACCGTACGGTGATGACTGTATCGGAGGTGAGTCAGGTTGTGATGGTGAAACGCTGAGCGCAGTCTCTGATGAGGCTCGCAAACTCGCTGAGGAGGGAACATCAAAGCAGGTTGATGTTAGATGTTGGAAAAGGCTTATACAGTCATCAGCGAGGTCAAAATCCCATCAACTCTGTGGCTCTCTGGGGGAGGAGTGACCTGAGCGGCCAGCGACAAGCTGAGTAATCCAATCTCTGTGTCTCGGATGGACTGAATGAGGCTGAGGTTTAATCTAAGGCAGGTGGGGGGAGGTGGTGGGGGGGAGATCCTACCGTTCATGAGGTCCAGGATGAAGCAGAGCTTGTCGGGGGTGTGGAAAGCGTACGTCATGCACACGATGAACGGGCAGTCCTACAGAGGCATGGACACACAGAGGGAAGTCAGGCAGAAGTATTAACCAGCTTCAATCAACCTTTATTTAAACCTGGTAGGCTTTACTTACAGTGAAACAATATGAAAATTAATCGGAACTTTGTTTATATAGCTCCTCTTTAAAAAAAAAAATAACAGTGCTCTGACAAACAAACAAAAAAGAGGATATTCACAATATTACAACAGAAAGACAGTAGTGAAAAAATAGATTTAAACCCAATAAAAGACACTAAATACAGAATTTTAATCTAAATAAATTGATAAAATAAACACAGATAAATCAAATAAAATAATACAAGCACCAAAAAATGCCATAGCACAGAGTAAAAGAGACAGCATCCCATAAAAGCAAGTCTATAAAAATGAGTTTTAAGATGTGATTTTAAAGAAGCCACTGATTCTCCTGAGGCAGGTCGTAGGTTACAGCCTCCACTTTGGAACAGTCCAAAGGGCTCCAGCCAAGGATCTGAGGCTTCAAACTGGCTAATGTGATCAATAAAATCTTACAATCGATTCTAAAATGGCCAAGGAGCCAGTGGAGGATGTGATGCCGTTTGTTAGAACCAGTAAAAGATGAGTGGCGGAGTTCTAAATTAGTTGGAGGCGAGAGAGAGAGACTTTTGGTTTGGTTGATACCAGGGTGAAGGGAGTTACAGATGTCTTGAGAAAATTAATGAATGAATCACTTAAAATAAACCAATAAATCAGAACAAATTTTTGCAAATACACAAAACAAAGGCTCATGGATCCACATGTCCCTGGTTTCGTTCGATTTTCACGTATATTGTTGTCGGGTCACAATTTTGGCTCTAAATTTGTCACGTTCATCTCTGTAATTAACAGTGTTGTGAGGTCTTG